CGCGACTGCTGGCGCTGCTGCTCTACGAGCTGCTTCAGTTCGGGGGGAAGCTCCTCGCCCTCGCGATAAGCCCATATTGGCTTTGGGTCGTGGCGTTTGCGCTTGAGCGACATCTGCTTGAACTTGGTTTTAGGCGGCGGCGAGGGTATCTTTGCAGCGAAGGTGACGGGAGAAGAGGTCGCGGTGGAATGGGGGATGGAGAGCGAACGGCGCGGTAGCACCGTTGCGTCTCCATCATGATTCACTAGCGCAGATATATCCATGGAGGGTGTGGTAGGGTTGTGCGTCGGTCAATGTACTCCCCATCGTGTACCAGGAGGCTAGTGTTGCTAGCGCACGGCCCTCAGGAGCAGAGTGACCCTGGCAGCGCGGTCCAAAGCCGTTGCCTTGAGTGTCGCTCTAGTCTTTGTTGGGTTTCAGCACATGCTGGCCGTTCCCCGGGCCTGCCTTTGATGAAAGTGTAAGGTGTTCATTCAGAGTTTGCCTACTATCCGCTAGTGTCTACATCGAATTTTGCGGTTCATGCGCCAGACCGTCATTTGGTCAGGCGAGTCATGTATGTGCATCTTGTGCAGCCCTCTCTCTCTCCACATACACACGCCCCCTTCTATCAATAAATAGGACGTCTCCGCTCCCGCGGTACCCTTACGCGTCTTGGTCAAGGCCCAAATCTTCCTGCGCCGGGACAATGCGGAGCGTGTTCGTGTGTCCCATGCCTCCCCTCCAACCTTGCACGCAAACAACGGGATCACCCTTGCTGAGTACTCCGAGTTTGATGGCGTTCATGATGCCCCACTTCAGCCGGCGGTCAACGTCCTCCTGCCATGGCTCCGTCTTGAAGTCTGGCTTCGCCTCGGGGAAATAAAATGGGTAAACGCCGCGGTAGAGGTGTGAATACTACACAAATTAGTGACGGATACACCTGTCGTATTTCGCACCAACTTACCCTAGCGGCCATCGCGTTACGAGTAACCATAATGATGGGGCAAACAGGCCTGTACTTGGAGACAAGGCGGGCGGTCGTACCACTAACATTTGTCAGAATTCATCAGTATACAGGCATTTGGGCCACTCACCTGGTTGTCAAAACCAGAATAGCACCGGCATTCTGCTCAAGACTAGCGCTGACGGCGGCCATGGCGCATGTCTCAGTGGTTGGGCATGGCACAGGAGCAAGCTTTCGCAGCTCGTCGAATGCGTTGACATATGGAATAGCGACTTCAGCGAGCAAGCACGTCTCGTGCATCATGGTAACGGCCTCTACAGGGTAGTCACCCTTTGCAGTCTCACCAGACAACATGACGCAGTCAGCACCGTCAAGGACAGCATTACCAACGTCGCTGACTTCGGCACGAGTTGGGCGTGGGTTGTAGGTCATGGACTCGAGCATCTGGGTGGCGCAGATGACGGGCTTGCCGGCAATGTTGCACTTGGTGATCATCATCTTCTGTGCAATGAAGACCTGGCTAGGTGGGATCTCGATACCAAGGTCACCACGAGCAACCATGACACCGTCAGTCTCTCGCAGAATCTCGTCGAAGTTGTTTACACCCTGCTGGTTCTCGACCTTGGCAATGATTTGGATGTCCTTGCCCTCCTCACCGAGCACCTCACGGATGGCGGTGATGTCGCTGCCGCGGCGAATAAAGGACGCAAAGACCATGTCGACCTTATTCTTGACACCGAACTTGAGATCGGCCTTGTCCTTCTCTGAGAGCGGGGGAAGATCAATGTCAGTCTTGGGCAGGTTGACACCCTTCCTTGACGAGATCTTGCCATTGTTGACGCACTTGCACTTGAGCGTCTTATCGTCTACGATCTCGAGGACCTCAAATGAGAGGACACCATCGTCGACGTAGATTGTGCGGCCAGCCTCAATCACCTTGGTGATGTTCTTGTAGTCGACGTACATATTCTTGTCGTCGCAAGCAGTGGCGTATTGTTCATCGGTAGTGATGTTTATGATGGCACCGGCCTTGATGGGGATATCAGCATCGCCCACGGTGTTGCCCGTTCGGATCTCAGGGCCCTTGGTGTCGAGGGCAATGGCAAGCGGCCTGCCGGGCTGTGACTTCTCGGCTTCGCGCGCATGGTCAATGACGGACTGGTGGTACTCGTACGAGCCGTGGGAGAAGTTCATGCGGACGACATTGAGACCGACTTTGCGGAGAGCATTGATCTTCTCAGCAGAGTTGGTCTTGGGACCAATGGTACAGATGATGGAGGTTCTTCGGTACTGCTTGGCAGGGGTGTACTCAGTGTTGAGCTGGCTAAGCCACTCAATCCTGGTCCTGCCGGAGTTGAGGTGGTCTAGACTACATTTGGGGTCAGTGAATGCTCCGAATAGAATATAGTCCCGGCATGCCCATGGCGCGCGGTTGTTGCTGCAAAGCTGCAGATCCAATGACATTGTCCATGGGTAAACTGATCATCATGGAACAGGAAGGTAAGTCGAGAACTTGGTACAGAGCCGAGCTGGACACTTTTCCCCTCCCGCGGAGCTGTCCTATCTGCGCAGACATACGTGGACTGGCGCCAGCCATGTCTGTTGCAAACAAGAGGCTTGCAGTGTATTGAATGAAGTATACGTACGCGTTGGCCATTTTCTACGTCTAGTAGTGTCTGAATGGGGAGGGAGGAGGAGGGAAAGGGAGGACTGTGAGCGAAGTTATATCGCTGTAGCGGAGTGCGGGGCCGGTAGGAGCAGTATACAGACAGCCCACTTGGCAATGTGGTGGCTGCAGAGTAGAGGAAGAAGAGGAGAAGGTGAGCGAGCTGGCTACGAAGACAACGGCGCTCGACGAGTTTATCTTGTGCAGGCCCGGGCTAGAAGTTTTGTTGGCTGTTGAGCGTGTTTTGGAGGGGCAGTAGTTTTGGCGCTAGTGTAGGTGCTTAGTACGTGGGGCTGCACCCTGAGCGACGGCACGTTTGGATATAACAATTGGAAACGGATTGCGATGGAGAAGTGGGCTTGGTAGCAAGAAATGTGGGCTTGATAGCGCCACTCAAGCTCTGCCGCTGACTGGCCTGCTGACGGCATTTCTGACCTGCCCCCGTGGTGGTGGTGACTCTCTTCGCCCATTGCTTGTTCGAAACCACCCACGTTGCGGCGTCATTTGCACTCAAGCATCCCACTCCGATAAGGCCCTGTACGTACAGACGCAACCTGCTGCTCAGGGCCATTGCAAATCGCGGCGCCGCATTCCGGTGTCCCCGTCCGGTGTCCGAATTCCGGTGTCTCGTCTTCGCAGCTTAGCTAGTGGGCATTTGAGTTTATGTATCGGTGCGCGGCCGGATGCTGGCGTGCCATGGCATTTTTTTTCTTCAGTGCTTGTGCCCGCGTGGAGATGCATGGTGCTTTGGGGGTCTCATGGGGTCAAGGTCATGGAAAAAAGAGCCCTGAAGGGGGTTCACCACGTTGAGGACGGCCTAGTTATATATCACCTGCCTGTAGCATGGCCCGCTCCTAGATCACCCGTAGGTGCTCCGCATGGCCGTGGTGCCCGAGGTTCAATCGCTGTCCACCTGCCACTGGGACGTGGGTATCCTGGAGTTCCATATCAGTGGGTACAATCACGGCCGCCGCCGCGTGTCCCGAGGCTGTACCTGTGCCTGTAGTAGTGTACAGTGTGTGCGAATGGCCTGTTGTAAGCGATTCGCTCTGCAGGTACATGGGCTGCGTCTGGGGGTGCAAATACCACAGAGTGCTCTAATCTCTTGTCGTGGTCCAGATCAACGTGTAACGGCGAGGGAACCCTACTTACTAAAGTCGCGCATGCTGCGTGCCAGCTGAATCACATGCAGGGAGAGTGACTAACCACGGCACCAGCCACACGTCTCTCCACCACTTCTACCTAATCGCTCTACACCGCATCCTTCCACCACTCAACAACCGCCACCCGCGACAACACCCATACCCGCCACACTTTTTGGTACAGTGATCGCCAAACAACTCCCCCAGGCACAACTCCGCCTCGCCCCATACCCTCCACAATGGTCGTAGGTAGCCTGCTCCGGATCCGCGTCTGTCGGGCCGCCCAGTCGCACCTTCAGTAGCTTACACTCCCTCCAGCTCGGCAAAGTCGCACATTACGCCTTTGATGCGGTACTAAGTACGTACACAGAAAGTATGCCTTTTCTAAAAACAACATCATTAACCATGCCACAGTCTCCGCTTTCCTGGCTGGCGTTCGGCGCTCAACTGGCCTCACGTACGTTGCCCCCATACTCTGTCCCTCCCAGGCACAACCACCCCTCCCACTCACCACCGTACAACGACTTCTCGGCCCGAGCAATATGCTCAACATGATTTCGCGACATTGATACAAGTCTGGAGCTAAAGCTAAACCCCAGACCCAGTTTAAAGCCAGACTCCTTCAGCGAAAACCCCAGCGCCCTCAAGTGGTTTGAAAACTACCTATGGGTCGGCGAGACGGTCATGGACCAAAGCGTTGCCCTATTCGGAGCAAGCTCGTACTTTGAGCGCAAGCGATAAATCGCTCCTTTCCGATATATACATACTGAGCATGAGAGCTTGGTAGTTGAAGAATGAAAGCGGCCCTTGTGGCGACGGGCAAGGAAGAAAGCGACGCTGAGCCGTTTCGTGTGAAAGAGAAAAAAACAGAGGCAGAGGCATTGCAGTGGGGCTGTAGAGACATGGATGTAGTCTATGGGAAGTGCGACCTGCGTAGTACGCAGCACGACACAACACCGGACAGAGAGCATGTGGTCATGCGGGTTTAAATTTCCTCGTTTCGCTCCTTCAGGTGGAGGGCGTTGGGACGCCTACTATCTCATCGTCTATCTAGACGATACGAATTTACGCTTTTGACATTACACCACCCGTTTCTCTTCAACCGTGACAATGCGATGAATGCGATTTCGCTACTACGTAACAACCTATCTGGGTATCATGCTTTTGCGCAGAACACAGGAAACCATACACACACACATTCCATATCTTGTAACCATAATTCTCTTTCCACGCAAAACAAACTTTGCTATCCCCTCCGCTTAAACCTAAACCCGGTCTCCTCATCATCGCTATCATCGACTGCTCTCCCAAACCTGCCCTTCTTGGCTGGCGGCACACCCGCAGCCCCGGATCCCCTCTTCCTACTTGCCTGCGTCTGCGTACCCTCAGGCTGCGTTTCGGCAACCCGCTGCGTCCGCCCGCTACTCCTCTGCGTCCGCCCTGTAGGCACCACTTCCTCGTCATCTGGCCCACTATCCTCGACATTAATGACTTCCCGCGGCGTCTGAGTCTGCGTGCTATGTTTGCGTCGGGCGAAGCCGCCGACTTCTGGTTCAGAGGTCTCGTCGTTGTCGGCTTGAGTACCGCGGCGGCTGGGGTGCGAGCGCGATGAGGGTTCCACGTCTTCAAGGAAGAAGGTGTCGCTCATGCCGAAGCCTTTCTTTGGCGGGGCCTCTTCGAGCGTGACGAGGACTTTGTGGCTTTGCACGCCTTGTTCGGCGCCGCGACGACGGAAGCGCTTGAAGTTTTTGCGGCCGTTCCATTCGGGATTCCAGCGGTCGCTGCTTGCTCTGCTCTGGTTGTGCGTGTTGCTTCTGTTTTGTCGTGGCAAGACGTTCATTTCCTCTATCTGTGCTAGGTTCTTAAGCTCAGAGATATCGATGCCTTGGAGTGCCTCTCGCAAATTTTCTTCGTCTGCTTTGCGTCGCTCTTCCTCTTCCTTGATCCTTTGACGGGTGTGCTCACGGACATTAATCTCTTTCTCTGCTTTGGCCTTGGCCTTGTTAAGTCGTGCCAATGCATCTACGCCTTTAGTGCTTGGCTTTTGTACAGGTCCGCCTACTTCAGGCTCCACCGAAGCTGATGGTGCCCTAGTAGCTGCTCTCTGTTTTCTCATCTTTGCGGCCGTTGGAAACAGAGTGTCCATCTGTTCCTCCTTTTCGACGCTGTCTTGAATATGCAATGGTAGTGAGGCTTGGTTCTGCGTGCTGGGACCAGCTTGTGTCTGTGAAGTTGCAACTGATGACCCTGAGGCAGCAACCTGCTGCACATTCTCCTCCGGTATGGGTTCCACTTTGAGCTTCTTCTTCGGGATCGGTTCGTCATCATCGAAACCGGTGAAGCGGCTGGTCTTGGACCTACTTATGCGCTTTCGCGGAATCACCTTTGTAGGTTCTTCTGCTGGAGCTACACTCCCTTCTCGGGATTGTGAAGGTGTCCCTGATCTAGACATTGGAGTTCGGGCACGGGTAGAGCGTCGGGTTGGAACTGAGTCAGGTACAGGGTCACTAGAGGGCACTTCGATAACTTCAGCGGGTGGTCGTTGGAGTTGAGTGCGGTCCTTTGTGATGATCGCATCGAGGAACTCGTTCTGTAAGATGGAGCGTTGACCAAGTGCTTGATCAGCTCCAGTGACAAAGCTCGCAGCCCATTCTTCCATTGCGTCAGGATATGCTGGCAACCTAACTGTTATAACTGGAAGCTTCTCGCTACTTTTTCCACGCCGTTTCTTGCCTGCGACGCTGTGGACATAATTGACATATTCCTCAACGGTCGTCTCGCCTGGTCGGACATTGCAAAGTAACGCCTTGCCGCCTCCACCAGTGACTGGGTCAAGCAAGCTACTGTATTGACCTTCATTCAAGAAAACAAAGGTTAGACCTGAGAAAACTTCTGATCTTGAAGCATCAGGAAGTAGCATTTCCTGCGGGCGAGCGACTGGCTCTGCGCCTGCTGCTGGTATATAGTCCTTCTCAGCCGGCCACCATGTATCAAAGTCCTCTTCCAATTGAGAGGGTATGTAGTTTTGTTCGTCATCGACCGATGCAGCTGCAACACGGAGAACCGCTTCGAGAAATTCGGCAGTAACTATGTGCTTGCCGGACGTTAGACCGGAGAGAACCTTGGGCAAGTTTCGCTTCGCTGATACAACATGGGTTGTCTTGTCGAACGCAAAATCCGTCGTGGTCTTGATGTCTAGGGAGTGCAATTGCGTACTACGTGCTTTACCATCCCTGGACTCCTTGGACGCATAGGTGAACACAACTGGACGCCAGACAATTTTGAACGGCGCATAGCCTTGAGCTAATCGAATCGTGTGCTCTGTTCCTTTCAGTATCTCGCTACTGTAGGTCACTGTTCCGTCTTCTGCCTTTTGGCTCTTCAGCGTTGTCTTCTCATCGATTGTAGTCCCTTGACGGCAGCTGAGGTCAGTAACCTCAATCTGTGACCGTTTATGGAGTTTGGTTCCGTCCTCAGATGCCACCTCATACACCTTGAGCATAACATGCTTCCTCGATACAGCCTTGTTGTCAATCTTCCAATTCCTTCCCTGTGGGCCGTCCTGGTCGGCCGCCCTAGTTCGACCGAAGAGCTGCTGCGATCCCGGGCGCAGCCACACGCGCTTCCCTCCAAAAAGACTCTCATGTTCCAGGAACCACATTGTTGGGGGCTACAGTGGAGCGGCTTACTAACGATCGGGCGGCGATGTGTTTGGTGTGTTGCGCATTCTGGCTTTTCATGGTACGCCTACGCTCTTTTTCGTCTGGCATGGCACGACATGTGAACAGGCTACACTGAGGTGTGCGAGCTGACGCGCTGTCACGTGTCACGCTAACAATATACTCCCCTCACCACCTCGATTAGTCACTCTACTGCTCCCACTTCTAGGTTCTCGCACATCTGCTCACTCTCTGTACTCTATGGCTTTGATCTTAATGATATGTTCAAAGGTCTATTCCAGTAACCATCATGCCTAATGCCGGCTGCTTCTTCGCTTCGTACATAGCCTGGTCGTGCTATACATCGAATGACTTCTTGAACTATCCAAGTCCATAACACATTTGTTTCTCCAGTATCATCACATTTGGACCTATCTTTAATTATGAAAGATCGACAAGATCCCAGATGAACATGAGGAGAGAAAGACAGGAGTTCACTGATAATCACGGTGAGATTCCAATGTTTCCAAACCGTCGTACATTGTTTGTTTATTTGTGATGAGAGATAGGTGAAAGTGAGTGACTGGTCAGAATGTCCGAAATCCGCACCTTGACAAAAAGTAATTGCCGGAGCAATCTTGCATATATCTATAGCGCCACCATGACAGCTGTGTACACTTTCACAGGAGGAAACCCGAGTCAAATGCTTGCAACGATGCTAGTATAAAGAGCAACATGCAATTACATAACAAACAATTTGTAGAGGAGCATCAAAGTTTCGGCCAATGCATTATCGCAGTATGATCTCAGCTCCTATAGAGGACAGTTGTGACTGGACTCGAGACTATTGAAGCCAATCATGTGATCATGATGACAGACTAACCAGATTGATTTGCCATGACCGCACGTGAGACCGCGACATGGGGAGATCTATTTCTACATCGGACCATCGCACACACGGCCTTCCAATTCCCTGGGACTCCGTGTATATGCTTTTTCTCGATTCGGACTTTTATCTCCGTCACGCCGCGTACTGACATCCCGACGCCACTTGTTGAGCCACGCTGCACGACTTCACCGTTGCGCTGAACACATCTCGAGGAAAGTGAGAGTGCGCGCAAGTGGCCTTTACAACTGCGCTATTACCTGAGTCTACGCTTCCCTTCTTAATTCTCCTTGCCAATTGTGTTACTTGATTCGGCATAAACAAGTTGGCTGTCATCGACGCCTGCCGTTATATGTCAACACTGCAGGTCCGCCAATCACTGCACACGCCAACCCAACCCAAGTACTTCAAATCACATCATTCGCCATTCTCGCACTCATTAAAAAGGTTCTGGAGTTCTGCCGTAAGATGGTGAAAAAGATCACGTATTCGCGGCGGCAACCCGATAAGCGGCGCCTTTCCTTCGATTTTGATCAAGTTCGTGAGAATGACGACGGCCGCAAGCGGACCAAGACGGCTCACGGGTCAGATGAAGTTCAGTTTGTGACGCCCGCTTCAAAACCACAGGCGAAGAAGCCGCTTGTGTCGAAGAAAGGCGCATATGGTGGACCCGTCTCCATACCGGATGATGCCGATTTGGAACCTTCACCAAGAAGCGGAAACAGATTTTCGGTTTTCGACAAAGTTCTTAGTAATGGAAGGCACCAACCTGAAAAGACGAATGAGAATAGTCTCCGGGTCAGTAAGCAACAGTTTTCAGAAATGATGAAGATTGGGCAGAGATCCAGAGAGCACAACGACCAGAAGAGCAAACGATATCTGCCTACGCCACCAGCCGAGGTTCAGAGAAAAGGGCACGGTGAAGTGCAAGAGGACGAGGGTTTTGTACGGCTGAATGGATATGTCGAAAAAGACGGGTTGAACACGCCTGAGACATCACCTACACCTTCAACGCGAACCTTTCAGCTATCTGGACAAGCCCGCAGGAATGCGCCAAGAGAGCCCTACCAACCGAGGGCCTACAAAGCTTTACTGACCCCCGCACCTCGCGAGAAGATTGGCGGGTCTCTATTATCAAGAGAGTCTCGTGAAACCCAGTTGTAAGTGCCATACGGAGTGTGCCTTAGTTTCGCAGACTGACTCGACTAGATGGTCAACGAACCAAGTCAGCTCACCGTTCTTGCAGCTCCCGCAAAATGTCCGAGATATCATCTACAGGTATACACTAGGCGGCAAAACCGTCAACATCGACTACGAGACATACCGGATAACTTTGGACCCCACAAGGCCTCAGGTGGCGAAGAAAGTCACGCCCGTCTTCAAATATCGTTGCACGGTCATTGACGGCAAGATGAATCCTTTCCATGCGGCCGCCAAGCCGTATATCAAGATACGCAAGAGCTTCACTCTACTGAATAGCGTATGTCGGCAAATGTACGTGGAGACTGCGACTCTGCCATATAAATTCAACACGATGTGTTTTGCCTCACATAACATCATGGTCAACTTCCTGCTCATGGAGAAGCGACTGTCTCGTGAGCAACTCGATGCTCTCACACAGTTGCTCCTTCGCAACGAGCTGCCGGGCCCGAACCTGCTGGCTTGTCTGCGAAATCTCGAGAAAGTTTACCTTGTATCTGACCAGAGCGGGAAGTCTTCGGGCTGGTATCATGTTGAGCGTGAGGAAGGAAAGGAGCCAAATCTAGTCCAGGCTCCGAAGGGGCGTGCATAATGGGTGGGTTGGATGGTATGTAATAGGCAGTGTAGGGGATTTCCTTTATCTGGCCGGACTCCGACAAACACGGCCGTAACAAGCACATTTTCACCGGTCTTGGTGTAGACGGATTGGCGATGCAGTATGCAGCATGACTCGATTTCCTTAGTAGTGCACAATTCATCTGTGGTACGTGGCCGTGCCACTTTTGGGGTGCGCATGGTTGGTTTAGTCAGACTGGCATGTGAAAGAGGCGCCGTGTCTAAGCCCGTGTCGAGTTCAGATGACCACGGCCTTAACACCCTTAAATTTTTTTTGGTGTGTGCACTGCCGTCTCATGTGCTTGGATCTCGTGCAGTGTGGAGATCGAAAGTAGCAGTCGGAACGCGTGGGAAGCGGTTCATGGGCGCACCCCACGTTTTGCACCCTCTCCGGATCTACGCTGCCTGCCGGTTCTCCGCAACCCAGTGGTTCAAGTCAGCACTGTCAGCGACCACAATGACCAGGACGGTGCGTGGCAGCGGGTACAGTAGTGTGGAGCTTCTGCAGGTCCCAGAGGAAATATTTGCTAATCATCAGCATGGGGCTGACAAGGACGGGCAGCGGGTGCTTCTGGAGCGAGTCGTTGTCACATTTCTTTAGCCGTACCCTTGACCTTTAATGACGATGGCCCACGGACACGCACCCACTCTTCCCCCGGCCCTCGAGCCTGCACTGGCAGCAGCTTCTGGTAAATACTTCAGAGGCCGGTGTCCACCTTTGCTGCTCATCTCCCGTCGCTCTCCCAATTGTCTGCTACAAGAATTCCACTCACCGACCCGTGACGTAGCTTCCGCGACTTGCGCGACACCTGGCGCATGACCACCGCCCACGGTTGACCCCATTTCCGCCAATACCTACACCGCGTCTCTGGGGAAAAGCACTATTACTACTACGCTGTCGACCGCCGTTTTCGATTCAAATATCTCGTCCTGACAGTCCCCGCCTTCCCACCTCGATACCTTCACAACCTGTTGCGCAGCGCCCCTATCGGCCCTTTACTTGGACCATTGCCCGACCCTCCAATTCAGGCCTTGCACCGTTCGCGCATGGCGTGCACCATTGCTCCATGTCACTGCTGTCTGACACTATCTTTGCAGGCGGCAGCACTCGACTGCACGTAAGAGGAGGACAAAATGGCCAGAAATCCTTGAAGAAGAGCAAGAGTCATGCTGGGTTCCTGAGTCCCCTCGCACACCTTGTCAGGAACCCCGTAGGCAGTCTCGTGGGAATATTAGGCGACAGCAATGTTCCTGAACAGGGGGTTGGCACAGCGGAAGACGCCCGCCGGCAGGTGCTGTACCTGCGCATGAAAGACGTGGGTTCCTCAGATTGGTGGTATCCATCATCACATGCTAACGAAACTGCGCTGCACAGGCCGAGACCTACGACGAATGGAAAGCCGCTGCCACTGAGCTCGACATCTTAGAGGGCAATGAGGCCTGGAAAGACGAGGATGAGACGCTCGAGTACAACGCCGACCTGGTCGCTGCCCGGCTAAATGAATTGGACGACGCGCGTATGAGTTGCGACGTCAAGAGGATGTTGTTCCTGATTAGAACCACCCTCACCCGCGGCTTGGGCGACATGGGCGATCTGCGCCTGTACAAGCATTCGCATATTGGCACTAAACGGCTGATTGAGAGGTATATTGAGTCAGCACAACAAACTTTGGCTGCTTTGTTGAGCGTCTCAGAAAAGCAAGGAGAACAGTGTTCTGTCGAGCCACGACGACTGGTCGACCAGCTCCTGCAGACACGTCAATCCTTCGGCCGAAGTGCATTGCTTCTGTCAGGAGGTGGCACTTTGGGCATGAACCACATTGGAGTTGTCAAGGCCCTGTGGGAAGCCCATCTCCTTCCACGCATCATTTCTGGAGCATCTGCTGGAAGCATTGTCTGTGCTGTGCTCTGCACCAAGACGGATGCAGAGATACCAGACGTCATGCACGAATTCTGCTATGGTGATCTTAACGTGTTTGAAGACCCTAATCAACCTGATGGTCTTCTAGGCATGGCGATGCGTTTGATGAAGTCTGGTGTTCTTTTCGATATCTCGCATCTAACCAGAGTCATGCGAGGCTTGCTCGGAGATATGACTTTTCAGGAGGCATACAATCGGACCCGTCGCATCTTGAACATACCAGTTTCAACGTCCTCGCTCTATGAGCTGCCCAGGCTGTTAAATTACATTACAGCGCCGAACGTCATGATCTGGTCAGCTGTGTAAGTAATGTGGATACCATGTTTTATATTTATGCTAATGAAGCCCAGTTGTACATCTTGCTCGGTCCCATTGGTCTACAAGAAAGCCTCTCTTATCGCTAAAGACCCCAAGACTGGTCTGGAAGTTCCTTGGGACCCCAACCCTGACGCCGCTTGGATCGACGGCTCAGTTGACAATGACCTGCCAATGACGCGTCTGTCGGAAATGTTCAATGTCAACCACTTCATTGTCTCTCAAGTCAATCCACACGTCGTTCCGTTTCTGGAGAAGGAGGAGGAGCTAGTTTCTATCGAGGCTCAACAAGACATTGATGCTGGTCCCAGCTGGCTAAGCCTTTCCGCCAGTCTGTGTAAAGGAGAGGCCATGCATCGCCTGCAGCAGATGGTCGATACTGGAGTTTTCCCAAATCTTGCTACTAAAGTCAAATCGATCCTTAGTCAGCGGTATTCTGGAGACATTAATATCTTTCCCAAGATCCATTATGCCGACTTTCCTAGGGTGTTGAGTAACCCGACAACTGAGTACATGATTGGATGTATGTTAACTGGGCAACGTGCTACTTGGCCGAAGCTTTCACGCATACAGAACCATGTCGCCATTGAGCTCGCTTTGGACGATACAATACAGCAATTGAAGGGACGGCTTGTATTCCCCACCACACCCACCGAACCCCAGATCAGACGCACTAATTCTCAAGACACTGACATTTCCCAAAGAAAGCGGGCAAGGTCGACACACAAATCAGCGCGCTTCCAATTGAGGACGAGCCCTCCCAGCCCGGTACTCAGGAAGTCAGCACCTACTACACCATTCCTTTCTCGCACGCAGTTGAAAGCATCACTGCAGCCCTTATCCGCCTCGAGGAAGATTAACGACGCAACACGTCGCCAACCCCACGGTCTAAATATTGATGCGATTCAGTTGGAGCCAGCGTCGTCAACCAACGACACTTCTGACCAAGACTATTTCGCAGACCCCGACTCAGACCTTACAGATGGCATCTCATCACCTTCGCCACCCACATCGCCCACTTTTCAAGGCCCAACCCTATGGCCTTCCACACCCCAAGCCGTGATGCGACCTACCCCACAACCGGTATCCCAGCCTATACAATCACCACCTGTCAACACCAGCCCACTTCGCCGCCGCACAGACACATTGTTCCATCTCACCATGACGTCAGCAACCTCGCAGTCCACAACAGGCAACGCACCAAGCTCACCCGAACTGCGCTACAAGCGCCTGTTCCATCCTCCCGGGCCAGCTACACCCGACGTCAGTGTCGGCCCGCCGCAGCTCGAGCAGGAGTTTATCTGGCCCACGCCGTCACCGGCGCCCAGCCACCCAGGCAGTAGACGCAACAGTGCATCTGGTTTGCCGCTTGATCACTCTGGCACGAGGGGTATGCTGATGCGGAAAAAGAGTTGCATGTAATTGAGTCTGTTGTAGACTTTTACATTTTTTTCTTTTGTAGATTCGTAGCATTACAAGCTAGTCTTATCTCTCGTATCTTCATCGCGTTCATCTGCCAGCCACACACACACCCCTTCTTTCATATGTTCTCCTGCGTGTCCCCCGCATTTTCAGGCACGTGTACTGGAGAATTCTTTTTTTGAGGATGCAGAGTGGCAGATGGATATACAAACATCGACCTATTTATTTCTTTTGTGGAATATTGTAGAAGCAGAGTCAGCAAAGAAGACATTGTCTCGTGTGGTATACAGATAGAAGGATATACCGAGCTGGAGAGAAGCAGCATATATACATACCAGAGAAAGAAAGAAACAAAGAACACACAAATACATTTATTAGTAGAGATTTATAATATATATATATACCCTCTTATCATCCCCATTTTTCGTCGCCCCATAGTCATGCTCATTCGTATATAACATTATTCATATATCACGTCCCCCTCCTTCCTCACCTCTCATGCACCCCTTTCCCCCCCAAACTTTACCTTGACCTCCTTCTTCCCCCTCCAGCGCTCCAGCAACTCGTACCCAAACACCAACACAATCGGTAAACTCACTATAATCGCCGTGACCCGGCGTGCCGCGGGCTTATACTTGGGCGGAAGCCGTATGTCGGGTGTGGGCTCGATGACGCGCGTGTGCTGGGAGAGCGCGGGCGGGATGCGGCGTGGGGTGGATGGGTAGGGGTTTGGTGGGAGGACGGGGTTGCGGGGGGATGTGGTGTGCGAGGTAGAAGAGATAGGGGAGGGGGCTGGGAGGGGTTTTTGCGGGAGGGGGATGGTTGTTGGTGTGGGGTAGGTTCGAGCGGGTTTGGGTTGTGGTGGTGGTGGTGAGGAGGAGATGGGTGGTGCTTGTGCTGTTGCTGTTGTTGCGGGTTTGGTTGCTGGAGGTGTACCGCTATTCCTGCTCTCTAGGTTGGCTGGTTTGGTGGGCAATGTCTTGCTCAGTGTCCCCTTGGCGCGTACGGACTCGAGTATCTTGCTTGTTGCTGGTGCGACGGGCGTGGGATGTTCCGGCGCATTCTTCTTCGCAATTGTCTTCTTGTCCTTCTCTGGCGCGACAACTTTGTCCTTGGACACCACAGGCTTTGTAGTCGCGTTGTTTACAGCCGGCATTTTCTTCGGTTCTACGACTATTGTTTCCCCAGCATTTTCGGCTGCGACTTTCTTGGGGCGTCCGCGTTTCTTGATTGCTGGTGGTTCCATGGTGGGTTTTGTCGACGACATTGTCGCAATGTTTTTTTGTTTTGCGCAATTGGGATGCAATTGGTGTATAAACAGTGTCTCCAGGCAACGAAAGCTGAAAGGGGTGTATAAGAGTCACCAGAGGCTTTGCGACACGAGGAGCAGGGTATGGGCGCGGCTTCGAGGGGTAGAGCGGGAAATTTTGGGCCAGTGTTTTTGGGGCGGAGATTACAGTACAGGGATATGCGCGTATCGATAGGAGTACCGTCTAGCCATCCCTGCGTAGCGAGAAACCTTGTGTAGCCGGGCATTGCATGACGTTGGTCACGACAAAGTAGCGATCTCCACTAAGTAAGCCTGGAAGTGCACCGTCTTCAGTTTCGCTGCATTGCAAAGGACAGCAGCCGAATTGCACTTCACACCACCATTGTCAGAAATGTGAAGACTGCTCACAGCAGCAAGTTGACTCATCCATGCCGAGCCTCTACATGCAAGATTAGTTTCTATTCATAATTCTCCATGATTTCAACTAGTCCATTCTAGATGTCCGTCGAATCATATAGCATTATCTGAATGCTTGGTCATTACTATCAAGCAAAAAAAATAAAATCGTTGCTATTTCTATACGCTTAAAATTCGAACCCCCAGCATCATACTCACTTGATTCCCTTCAACAAAGGGTATAAAAAAAACATGTGCACTCTCAAGCAACACCCACAAAACGACCTTTGCGAACCGGAAAAACTTCAATTTTATCGTTAATTTGTCTTTCAACATGAAAATATCAGGCAGAATAATCTAAACAAAGCTCAATCATGTTGAATCATGTCTTATGCAAACATCACCATAGTTTCGATATTATACCGTCTCGTCGACGTGATAAGTGAGTCTAAGCTCGAGGAACTTATTACCATGTGGTAAGTTTATGCTTGCAAATTTTGAGATTAAATGAAAAAGGTTATGCAATGATATTTTTATTGGATTTAAAAAAACCAATGCATATCTATGTGTTCGACATCGAGTAGAATTTATTGGTGCAAATGTCCTCCTGTTTGGTTATGCCAATGGTCATGCTAATGCTATCTGTTCTTATTAGGACTTCTTTTCCTTTATTTTAAACAGTGTATGCTGAGACCGTGGTTATGGCGAATGGTTTAGTATGGAATTGTTTTGCAACAGAAAGGGTAAAAATTGCCAAGGTGTAGTTGAGCGTTGATTCGTCAAATGTATAATGAAAATGAACAATAGATCACGATTTTACTATGGCAATGATTCGTACTTTCATCATCATCATGCTTTGGATATTTGACTATTCAACATCAATTACTCTTGTATTCCCATTCCTATACACGCCCGCTCTAACCATCCAAAAATATTCCCAAAATCTCACATCTTATCCGCCATACCCTCACCTCCCATCCAAACAATATACTGCTCGATACTCTTCTGCATAGCATTTGTTGACTTCTCAATCAAGCCCGTAAGCGGAGTCTTGGCCGCATGCTCCCTCATCACATCCAGATAATCATCATTAAATCCATCATTAATATTCATCTTGGCAACACCACAGTCAATGCACTCGCGTAGCAGCTTCTCCTGGAAGTACTCTTTGCCCGCGCCGTGCAGCACAAGACTGACGCGGTCGCCGACCTGGGCGTGGACGCGCTTGAGGCGCTCGTAGTCGAGTTGTGGGCCTTTCGGGCCGTATTTGCCGTGGACGTTGCCGAAGGCGGGGGCCAGCCAGTTGATGCCTGTTGCGACGAATTCTTCTGCTTGCTCGGGGGTGGTGAGGATGGCTTCGAGGCCCATTTCACTCAGGTCGCCTACGCCGTCTTCGCCGCCGTCAATACGACCGGGTTCGGCTTCGGTGATGATGCCGCGCTCGTTGCAGTAGGCGACTAGTTCTTTAGTCTTCTCCAGGTTATCGTCGTAGTGGCTCATGTCCACCATGATGCCGTCGAAGCCGTTCTTGATGTCTGCGGCCTTCTTTACAATCTCGGGTGTTTGGGCGTGGTCCATGTGGAGCGCAATGGGCACACTGGCGTTGTCTGCTGCCTCACGGGCGGCATGAACAAGAATGGCATCAGCGTATTGTACCGCCCATGGGAAGAGCTGGATAATGAGGGGAGCGCGCTTGGCTTCCGCAGCGCGAACAGATGCGAGGATTCCTTCAACGTTGTAGACGCATGTTGCGCAGATGGCGTATTTGTTTGCTGCGGCGTGTGCAACAAGCTTCACGGCTTTGTTTTGGGATAGATCAGGTGCCATTATGGATGATATATATGAGGAACAGATTCTTTTGTATTGTATAGAATCAATGTGCAGTTCCAAGATGTAAGATGTTGAAGGAAAAGAATACTGTGAGGTCCGGTTAATGATCAGCCCTACCCCTCGTATGTAGTAGTTCCGGCTGCACTTCCGACATTCCGAGAGCCTGTTATGGCGGGGTTGTCGGCAATTGACTACATTATTTAACGGCGCAAACACCGATGATCCGGCCCGCTGGCCGCTCAATGGCTCCCGTATCAATTACGGGGCCTACGGGATACTCAGTTGAGCAGCTCTTGCCGCGGCTGAGTTTTATTTTCACCCGGTGGTCTACCGGATTGTCCGGATTGGCCGCATTCCTCAGATGATGTGCTCAAGAAATAAAAAATTAAAACACGCATGCTTCCACAATGAGTCGCAGAAAAGTTTGGATTGAGCATTTCACGCATATTCCGCTAATGTTGTTCTTCATGCATCGATTATATGTTTGATATCCTACACTAGCACAAAAGACTGCCGAGTCTTGATTAACGAAAAGCAATCCAACGTTCGCATCAACCATGCGATCTTCGAGAGGGCCGTGACATCATACCGGATCCTAACCATCCAAACACTCATTCCGTCCACATCTCACCGTCCTCAAAAACATACATGCAACAGAAAGTGATGTTGAATACTCAAGCATACTACTCTTCCATCTTGTCTCCGCCGTTGACAATGCCCGCATTCCCCTCTCCGAGATGTTTCAGTAGCCAACTTCGCTTGAAGTACGTGTTGGGATGGACAATGGTATCCAGATCATTGTTGCTCCAACTGCCGTCGTCCTTGACCTTTTTGATTTCCTTCTTGTGACTCCATTCGAAGATGCGATTGCAAGCTACGTGGTACCTCTGCTTGACAACATCTTCCTTGACTGTCTTGAGAGTATCGCGGTCGTTAACGCCAACACGTTGGAGGAGCGTGAGTAGGTTGTCCGGTGTAAAGGTACGATATGGGCAGCCATGTGACTGTCCTGGTCCAGGAAGAGGTTCTGTGAGAAGTTTTTGGCACGAGTAAGGGGTGTAGCCGCGGCCACGACGGTTGGCATCTCCACCTACATCGCCATAGGCGTGGCGGATGTTGTATTTGTATTCTTTTTGGAATTTCTCGTCTGTGATCAGCTTGAAGCTTCGCCGCCAGAATACTAGACACTCATCCAAGCTCAGGCCGATGCCTTTCAGGAATAGAGTATACTGTAGACGGCCGTAGTGCTTGAGATGTGAGTTCTCGCGTAATGTCATGTGTAGATTGCGCATGCAGAGCGGGAAATTTTGTGACAGTGTATCAATGCTGTTAGCGGTGATGGTAGAGAGGCCGTTGATATCGGCATCTGACGTCGAGTATGCGGCGTCGGGCGCTGTGAATGATTGAGAAAGATGGGCAAGAATTGGTGCAAGGCGGTCGTCTTCGTCGAGGCGAGGAAGTGCTCGTGCTGTCAACTATTTAGACGGTTAGCAAAACATTCAAAACACATACATTGCGGATGACATACTTCAAGCGCCTCGTCTAGTTTCTTTGTGAACTCGGCCACCACCAAGCTCATCTGCTCTCGTTGCGGAACATAAGCCATGCCCCTTCTCAACAGGACCTTTCTCTGTGCAACAAGTTCTGGAACTCTTTCCCAGTCGACTTTGAACCACTCCTGATCTTCAGTCTTCTTGATACCGCTCGCAGCATGTAGGTCGTCCTTCAATTCGCGCTTCTCTTCCTCTTTGACCTCCTCCCACTCAAGATTCAGACTCCTTACGAAATCCTGTCGCTCTCGTATATCGTCATCTTTGAATCGTAGTGTGAACAGCATTGTCTCTAGCCGCGAAAACCGCCGGCGGAGATCCTCTGTTGACGAAAACGCAAGCCTAAGTATGAAGTGTGAATAGTGGTCCCTTCGCCTCTCTTCCTGTAATTTCTGGCTTCTCGATGAGTCTGATCGAAGTGGTAGGTATTTGTCGAGTATGCTCTTCATGTATTCAGCCGTCTCTTCAGGGCTCTTGTTGCGGAAACTACATGCTTCAAGTTCGGAGAGGACTGCAACGTCCAAAGTCAGCAAATGGACACGATTGTTTGCGCATTGCCGTGCCACTGACCCTTCAATCGGTCGATTGCCCACGTCTCAAACTCCTCGAGCGTGATTTCGGCTGTGGGTGGCAGCACATAGAAGTTCAGCCGGTGCTGGTAGTTCTGTTGCTGGAATTCTGCTTTGGCAAATTGTCGCTTCTTGTAATCGAGATTGGCACGACGCTTGGTATCGACTCGGGAATGGTCATGGCGGATCATGGTGAACTTGTGTTGTTGCTGCTCTGCTACTCGGGCGAGCAAGTCGGGCAATGTGGATGCGGTATGTTAAAGTGGCAGGCGCGGTCGCGTCAACGCGTAAATCCACGCTAACCACTTAGAGCCAGCGCGCATCCCAGGTTTCTGATGGGGCACACTCGACACCAGTTCATAGCCTACCAGCATGCAGTCTTGAATGGCGCAATGCTAATTATACTTCGCCTCATGTGTGTATATCTATGTAGCGAATTGTATCGGTTCTATAAAGTCTATGTTCATTTCATTCCGCCTCTATGCGCGATACATCAACGTTCCGATGCACGCTTGCTGTTTGCACACCACTCAGCCCAGCAAGTCGCCCAAAGCGTTGACATATGCCGTGGGAACTGTCGGCGCGCCCTCGGCTAGGAAGTCTTCCTTCTTGCTGACACCAGTCAGCACAGCCAGCGTACCTCCCAACTTGCCGTCTATGCCAAACTGAATGTCCGTGTTCAGTCTGTCTCCTATCATACAAGTTCTGCTGCGATCGAATTTGAATTTGCCTTCTACAGCATCCATCATAGCCTGACTCGGTTTGCCCAGAGACAGTGGTGCCCTTCCAATCGCTCTCTCAAGCGCAGCACCAGAAGAGCCCGCACCTGGGAACAGAGTATGCGACATTGGGAGCGTGCTATCAATGTTGGTCGCAAGGTAAACAGCCCCACGTTGTAGGTACTGAAAAGCTATTGCGGTCTTCAGATAGTTGGAGTGGAAGTCTAGCCCGCTGAGCACAATGCCGACATCTGGGTCAAGAAGGGTGCCGTTCGCGATGGCATCGAAATCTTCTGGCTGGCGGATATCGCGACGGTATGCCGGGTCTGTACCACCGATATATGGGACGCCTTCAGATTCGAGCTCCTGTTCTACGCCAGACTCGCCCAGCACAAACACTTTGTTCTTCGGCCCGGGCAGCTTGAGAATACGGGCAATGTATACGGCAGCACTATAGGACGAACCAAAGACTTCGTCCTGTGGTGTGGTCAGCTGGTATTCATCCCTTGGAATCACGCATACTACGTACCACATTGGCGGGTATTCCTAGTTTGTCAAACTTCTTCTTGTAGTCCGCACGCGACTTTGTGCTGTTGTTGGTAACGAACACGAGCTGCTTGCCTGGAAATACTTAGTAGCCCGCTCAACCCTCCCAGGAATACGGCAAACGTACCTTTACCCCTCAGCATCTCAAGTGTCTCGGGAACCTTGTCAAACAAATGATCGCCGGACCAGAGAACGCCTATCCTTTGCCACAATCAGCAAACCGCCACATGTCACACAATACCGCGACCAATTAGTTTATGCGTACCATCGCAGTCAAAGAGGAAGACCTTCGGTGTTGTTAAGTACGATGTGATTGACTAGGGTGGGATGGTTTGTAGACATACGTCAAATCTGTCCAGGAAGCCATCGATGGCTGCCTTGTCACCGGAGAGAAACTGAGGACTCGCCATTATTGTCAGAATTCCGCCTTCTTGTACAAATCTTTGCAGCGCGTTGGAGTGCTAATAGGAGAATGATCTGGTAGAAGATGACAATGGTGGGGTGCTTGGCATGCGCCTTGCAGTCCGTTCGGAACGAAACCGATCAGTTCCGAAGGTAAAAAAGGTACTCATTTTTTATTCATCATTCGTTTACACATTCTACATGGTTCTTGGCCTCGTATGCTTCTTCACAGCTTGGATTGACCCAGTCAATCTACAATGATCTTCTTCTCCAACTCCTCGTAGTTCTCAAAGAAGCTATCGAACAGGTTCACGGCGTGCTCGACGTCATGCGCACCACCCGTCTCACGGATACTGTGCATGCTGAGCTGAGGGTTGCCCAGATCAAGGGTGCGAGCACCCATGGCTGCTGACAGCATGGGACCAATTGTGCTGCCACAAGACGAGTCGTTGCGAACAACGAAAAGTTGAAGTGGAACTCCTTCCTTGGTCGACGACACATTGTAGGAAGCGGGCTTCGCACGACGCGCCGCCTCCTGGAGCAGGACAATACCTGGCGTGTTAGTGGCATAACGGGCATTGGCATTGATCTTGATGACCGTTCCCTTGTTCATCTCGGGCCTATGTTGCGACTCGTACTTGGCGGGGTAGTTGGGGTGAACTGAATGAGCCATGTCGGCGGACACGAGGAAGGATGTTGCCAAAGTTTGCTCGAATGCGGTAGCAGTATCGGCCTCCAACTTGTCATATGACTTGTTAGAGTTGCTCTCGGACGCGGGCAGGACGCTTAGACGGCGGATTACCGCAGGCAAAAGGTTGGAATCGGCGCCTTGGGCTGTCTGCGAGCCAATTTCTTCATGGTCAAAGCACGCGATGAGTCGAATAATGGAATCCTTCTCCAACGCCGATGGAGAGGAAAGACTCTTGATAAGTCCCTCGACACTGCAGTAAGTCATCATGAGGTTGTCCAGGCGTGGGGAGAAGATGAGTTCGTTGTTTAGACCACCAATGACTGATTTTTGTGTGTCGTACAGGACCATCTCGAAATCGACAATATCGCTGGCTTCTGCACCTGCCTCCTCGGCGATGATGTCGACAATGTAAGGGTGGTGCCTGGCAGTTGGAGCGGTGAGTGGCTCGAATGAACCCTCGGCGTCTGTGTCCTTGGTCTCTTCCTTGGTCTCTTCGGTCTTGCCCTGGCGGTTCAGCTCTGCTGCAACCAGGCCAGTGATGGGGAACAGCTGTGTCTCCTTGTTGAATTGGAAGTTCTCCTGGCGATCCAGGTGAATTGCCAGTGTGGGTATCCTCAGAATGGGTCGGTCCACCTTGACAAGGCGCTGCTCGATGTTGCCATCCTTTGTCCGCACCATGGCCCGGCCAGCAATACTGAGGTCGCGGTCGAACCAAGTATGCCAGAGCCCGCCACCGTATGTTTCGCAGGCTACTTGGAGGAAGCCGTCACTCTGTCGCTTAGAAACGGGCTTGATGCGCAGACAGGGCGAGTCGGTATGGGCGCCAATCATGGCAATAGGGTTTCCTGGCTTCCATTTCTGGCCAATGGCGAAGGCGACGATGGAGGAGGTGTTACGGGTGAGGTAGTATTTGCCTCCGGGCTGGAGGGTGGGTGCCCATGAGTCTCGTTCCTGGTGTTTCTGGTCAGGATATATGCAGGGGCTGGAAGGAGGGGCAATTGCAGACTTGCCTTGATCTGCTTGAAGCCGGCCTTCTCTAGTCGTTCCTTTGCTGACTTGACAGCATGGAATGCTTTGAATGGTTAGTACGTGTCAATGCCCGGGTCCTTGAATTCATCATACGCGTGGGCGAGGCATTCACAAAGGAGAGAAAGTCCTCCGCAGCTTGGAGAGAGGGCTTGGAGCTCATGGTTCGATGGATGCGCAACAGACGAAAAGGAGGTCGTGGTACAATAGAAGGGGCAGAGGGAGTGAGGTGCAGTAGTGTGGTTTGCAGCTTTAGAGGTGGCACGATAGGCATTGGACCACCAGGGCTACGTACATAGTAGGTACAGGCAGGGCGGCGGGCGGTGTGTGGGGTATCGACGTATCGACGTATGGACGAGAGGCCGCGGCAGGCGGGCGGGACTAACCTAATCGAGCAGGCGGGCTCTCATTGGACGAGAGCCAGCGTCAACGCGTGCGAAGAACATCAAAACAGCGACAAGCCAAACATGGGAGGCACGACGAGGTGGCTCTTGCCCTCGCGCACCATCGCGACTGCCTCTGCTTTTGTGTGTGAGGTTGGAAGGTGCTTCGGCCAGTGTGTTTGCATCTTCACATCCCCAACCACCCTCGTTTTGCGTAGATGCACCCTGTGGCTGTCCATTGTTAGCTTCCCGCCCCTCGCTCGTTGCCTGCGCCCGCTACGCTACCGCCGCCGCTCGTTGCTCCCCCAGCCAACTCGCGGCTGTCCAGCATCCAAGCCCCGACCCGCAACCACAACAAGGTCACCGCCGACACCCCACCCGTTGCGCGCCAACCACCACAACCACAGCCGCCATACTGATCCGATGCGCACTGATCCCGCATAACGTCACTTCTCTTGTTCGCACCCGTGTGCGCAAAAACTCCGTGTTGTTGGCCAAAGAGGTGGATAAACAACCAAGGGGCAGCCATCTGTCGCAACAAGACGACTCACACCTCACCGCCGCACTTACCTCACCCCTCTTGCCTTCACCTTCATTCTTCGGCCATCCTTATTCAGACGAGTACACGGTCTCGAATCCGCTGCCTTTGACGTGTCCCACCCCGCAACGTCTTTGTTATCCTGCTTGGTATACAATAACAACAACAACGACAACAACAACCACCCGCACCACCTCACCTCCCACAACCCGGCGCACTCATCACAATGGCACGAGGCCATTTAAGCGACGCAGCTACGGCGAATATACAGTCCGAAGACGACATCGCAACACCGACGCTGATTTCCCCGCCCGAGTCCAAAACACCACCGACTGCTTCCCACAAGCGCAGCCAGTCCTTCCCCACTAAAAGGCTCAGTCGCAACTCGGAACCAATAGATGCCGCAGCTTTGTCAAAAGCGCTTGGACATATTGAACAGGCTGGCCGGGTGCGAGAGCGGACACCAACAGCAAGCCCGAGCCGAAAACGCCCGCGGACGTACGGTGACAGGTAAGACTGCTACGCTGAAGCTGCAAGCACGCACGTCACTAAAGTTTCACTCAGATTTATTCCAAACCGCGCAGGCCAGGATCTTCAGGCAAGCTTCAATCTACTCCACGATGACGCATCGCCAGCGACACCGTCCAAAGCTAGGCGGACTCCCCATAACGAGTTGCACTTTCAGAAGAGTAAGGACAACCATAGTGTTTCATGCAATCCATAACTGACTAGGTCATAGCTGAGGAAGCCAACCGCACATATTCCGCCGTACTCCGACAAGAAATGTTCGAGGGCTCAGTGCCTCAAGCCTTACCCCAGAGTTTGTCGCCGACTGACAGTGGCAATATGAGGGGCGCAGGGCGCTCACATACTCCTCCAGCGAGGACTACTGCCTCGCTACCGCCCCCTTCAGGGACTCCATCTACCCCGCACAAGAACCTCTTTTCCTACTCGGGCCAGCCAACACCGTCAAGAACGCCTTCGAGTCGGCACGGCGTGCTCAACCTCAATGCTCGATCAGATCTTTACAGTTTATCTCCCATCAAGTACAGTAGTCAACGTATGCTGCTCAGCCCTCAACGTCAAGCTCGCGCAGTTTCCAAAGTACCGTACAAAGTTCTGGATGCGCCGGATCTAGCAGACGATTTCTATCTAAACCTGGTAGATTGGGGCAGCCAAAACACTCTAGGCGTAGGCCTTGGGTCATGTGTATACATGTGGAATTCAAGCAGTGGTCGCGTTACCAAGCTGTGTGAACTTGCCGATGATTCTGTCACCAGCGTGAACTGGATACAACGTGTAAGTCTCATACAGGGTGTATAATCTGCAGGCGCACTAACATAATGAAGGGCTCACATATTGCTGTTGGTACAAATCGAGGCCAAGTGCAAATATGGGACGCACAGACTCAGCGCCGCCTTCGTACCATGACTGGCCACACCGCTCGTGTTGGGGCCCTTGCATGGAACGAGCACATTCTCACTTCTGGATCCAGGGATCGCACCATCTACCATCGAGACGTTCGACAGCCAGAACAATGGCTTCGCAAGCTTGTAGGCCACAAGCAAGAAGTCTGCGGGCTCAAATGGAACCAAGAAGACGGTCAACTAGCTTCCGGAGGCAACGACAACAAGCTCATGGTGTGGGAAAAGCTCAACGCAGAGCCTACATTCAAGTGGAGTGAACATCAAGCTGCCGTCAAAGCAATTGCTTGGAGTCCGCATCAACGAGGTCTCCTGGCTAGCGGTGGTGGTACAGCAGACCGAACAATCAAGTTCTGGAACACGCTCATATCCTCAAACGGCCCGTCAGCTTCAGCTCTCGCATCTGCATCAGCGGCTGCATCAGCAGCAGCGACCACCAATATTCCACTTTCACCCACAGCGCCAGCAAACCTCATCAACAGTCTCGATACCGGTAGCCAAGTATGCAACCTCGCATGGTCCAAGAACAGCAACGAGATCGTTTCCACCCATGGATACAGCCAAAACCAAATCATAGTTTGGAAGTACCCAAGCATGCAACAAGTAGTTTCGCTCACCGGCCACACTTACCGTGTACTTTACCTGGCTATGAGTCCAGATGGTCAGGTAATTGTTACTGGCGCTGGTGACGAGACGCTTCGCTTCTGGAATGCTTTCAAGAAGAAGGAGCGCACTGGAGGCTTGAGTAGTATGGACAGTTGGGGCGTCATTCGCTGAATTGTTTCATCTGTTCTCGACTATCCTTGCTAATCTTTTGCGATAGGGCTGTTACCGAACCTCACAGCAGCTCATCCAGACTCGACCCTATGAACAGTTCATGTTCTGGTCAAGAGTCCTGCGCCGATGCATACGTGCAGAACATCACAGCCAGTTATTGCTGAGATCTCCTGCTTAGACCGGTGCTTGCAGTCCATCTCCTTGCTTTCTATTTTGACTTTAGCGGCATCTGTATGGTTACGACCAAATTTTTTCGACATTTTCTCACGAGCATGGGCGGCGTTCCGGGCGTTTTTTCTTTCGGTGGCTTGATACCACGGCATTATCGTTATGTTCAGACGGCGTTTGAGACGGCAGGGGTGCATTTTCTGCAAACCCCAGGTATTGGTGAAGAGGGAGATCCGTACCATCTAGAGGCGTCATGGGAAGGTCATCTGGGCACATCTGAAGGGGCCATTTTGTCTGCATTTGCTTCGTTGAGCCTGGTTCTGGGCCGAAGCTGGAGGAGTTCAAAGGCGTATTTTTCAGCGAACTTGCTCTTGGGTTTGACGGCTCCCGCGCTGTTCTGGCCCCGACTCTTTTCATGATCATGATTGTACTATAGTAGCCTAGCAATATCATGAGAAGAATATTGTGAAACTTGACTGTTACTTTTGTGTGCACTTTATGTTGAAAAGTGAAAGTCTACGTGTAACCTTGGAGGTGAAGAAAATATTGATCGAATCAATGCTTATTACTAGTATAAAAATAGACAATACGATTACCCAAAACCCGTCCAACACACCTAGCAGCAACAGTCCCATAGTATCTCCCCGATGAGGATAACAATTATCCCAAGGATCACCCACGTAAAAACTGTCCCCGCCCTCTTACTTACGCGTCGACCCCGCAATCTCACCACCACATGACGTCCTCGACACAAGTGCCCGGGTCGCCGTACGCCGGGGCCACATGAGCCGGGTCTCAGCGGATTTTCAATGCAGAGTTGATCAGATGAACAGGATGGGAAGGGGCTGGGGGTGAGCTGAGCGGCGCGGCAAGGGTTGGTGGTCAGGGTAAGGGTTCGAAAGTTAGTCACAGCTCTGTAGTAGTCTTGTTAGTTACTAGTTTCCTAACTAACTTTTCTTTTTTTTATCTTTTGGACAAAGACCGTTGTTGCTGTTGCTACGAGGAAGGGGAAGAAAGGGGGGGTCATAATCTTACACTCAGGACTGGCTCTTCGCCGCCGCATAACTCGTAACATTGTAGTTTTGCATTGTTGGCGCAGTAGCATCCTTCGGGGAAGGATTGGATGCACATTATTTCTGGGCACTTGCACTCTGTGGAGGGATCTGGGTTGGGGATTGGGTCTGGTTTTGGGACGACTTCTCGCGGCGGGCAGGTCTGGTACTCTGGTACTTCGCCGCCGCATTTTTCGTAGCAGTTTTTCTTGGCGTCGTTGTTGCAGTAGCAGGATTCAGGCCAGGAGTCTATGCAGAAGACGGGTTCGCAGACGCAGGTAGACGGGGGTGTAGGTGTAGGTGCGGATGTAGGTGTTGATATGGGCGTTGGTGCTGCTTCTTGTGGCGCGCGTGCTGCTACGCTTCGAGGAGGACAGGTATCGTATGTTGGAGGGCTTCCACCGCATTTTTCATAACACGCTTTTTTGGCGTCGTTGGCGCAGTAGCAGGAGTCGGGCCAGACTTGGGCGCAGAATACGGTGTCGCAAGTGCATGCTGGGGGCACTGCTTGTGGCGCGCGAGGTACCAGTGCAAGGACATTTCCCAAGAAGGGCAGAATAAGGAAAAGCAACTTCATGTTCAGAATTAGTATTAATGTTAAGTTGCTTCTGGATGTAAGATGAGGGTAATGATTATACAGGATCGCATAGGCCCTTCGTACCCGGCATTTATATATCAAAAGTGCAGACCACGACCCGCAATATCGCACTTTTCTTTTAATCAACAAAGCATAGGTGACATCCTTCTCACACCACACGCCAAGCTGACCTCCACAAGTTCCGATTGGTTTGCAAAAACTAAGTTTTGGACTCTGCTCACGTCCCCGAAATTACCTTTCGCGTGATGAACATCACATCTCGGCTTACTATTTCCACCGTCTTGGCAGCACTGTTGTGCGTATGTAGCTGAAATCTGCCATGCTCCTTGGCAATTGAACACGCAGCTTTTAGCATACTTGGAAAATGCTATGGTTCGTTGTAGGGATAATACGAGACATCTAACGGTTAATCTTACACAGACTCCCATTCTCCCGTAAGCAGGTAAGCAGAGTCGACCAGCCAATGGTTTACTTATTTTAACAGCGTTTCCATAGTTAATCATCTTAAGAAAGGAGAATATAGCAAATGGTTCGTCGTCAAACCACTATACCAAGACAGGTAAGCGGTTTTGTGGATATGCGGGTGTGTTGGTTGCCGCAGTGGGGTTGCTGATCATGCAAGCAATATTTTCGGGTTCCAGAACCCCTATCCCCGGTCCTATACCACATCCCAAGCCCCATATATTATGTCGTCAATTCGGTTGAACGCCAACTCTTTGTTGGAGATGGCTACTTACAGCACAGAATACGAGACCCTGTGCATGGGTATCTGTGAAACAAGAACACAAGCTGGGTGGTTGTTCATTACGTACGTCTTCTGAGCCTTTTACCCACCGTCAGGCTTCAGGTTTCCAATGGTTCGATGGCCTGATGTGGTGCGGTAACTAGTTCGTGGGCTTCCAGATTTCGTATTCATGATTATGAATGCGATATAGTAGTAAGCCCTTTTCAGTCAGTTGTGCCAGACGCCCTCGAGCAACCCAATGAGAACACGATAGGTAACGTATACAATAGAATAATGTGAGCTTGCATCAGAGTTAAGAAACTCCATAGCGGCTGAGAGCGCTGGTGCCAAGTTCAAGGCCCATTGTCCTCGCGTCGGTTTCCGTCGGTTCCCATCTGTTGTGTAACATAATAGCTTTTGGTGGGTGTTACACGACACATATTACCTGAACGCTCTTTGCTTGGTACAGCCTAGGTAAGATAGTCCAACATAAGAAAAAAAGAAAAACGTCAAGCTGCAAATGGCAATCCTGTCTATTGCAATTCTGAGTGGAGTGGAAAAGAAATAGGAAAGTGAGGTGATCAGTGACTCCAAGGAAATCTAGGTTTCAGACATGCTACTCCGAGCTTTCCATGCTGTCACTTGATGGTGAAGGGAACATCCAGTTCCGAAACGATACTCAGATCCAAATTCAACGCCAATGTGCTTCCCAGGGGTATATATCTCGAATGCAACCAAAAGTCCTCATATCTGGACATAATTCGTAATCGTAACATTACCGATTACGATCAACTTCTTCGGGTGGAGATCGTTGAAAACCAGTAGTGTTCCGAACAGCGTCGAATCCACGCCATACTACGGTAGAAACAGACGAAGCTAGCTCTCTCAGTGAAGAGACAGGACTTCGATACGAGTCATCCCTCGTCCAACCTGCCTCTACGTCGTCAGTTGGTCGGGGGCTAGTCTGTGCTGATCCGGGCGTCGGTACGGGTCGCGAAGCTGAAGGGGACATGTCATGACTCTCAGCTGCTTGCGTCTGCACATCTTCACCGCCAGTAGGAGGCTGGGATGAGCGTGTTGGTGACGCTGACTGCAGTTGGTCATGGCGCCAACTCAACGAACGTACGACGTCGCCTTTGCAAATAGGGCATGTCCTCCGACGAGTGACGAGCCAAGGAGTACTACATACGTCAGACTAGTCCGTGGACAAACAAAGGGTGGAAAACTTACATGCAATCCGCGTGAAACTCGTGGCCACACGGTAAACTCATGACTTGGCTGACGCCATCAACATACTCTTCTAGACAAACGACACATTCTTTCTGGCGCCCGCCATAGCGTCGTCTCCAGGCCGCTAGTCCTGACTCGCGTTTCTTTTGTTCGCGACCACGGGGACCATGCTGCACGGACGACGAAGCGCCCGGGACATCAGAATCCGATGAAGAACGCGAACGAGAGTCGAGAGACCTAGATCTAGAGGGCAGTGGTTGAAGTAGAGGTGTGGTTGGAGAATCTGCAGGCAGGCTTGCGGCAGAGGAAGAAGGAGAATCGCTAATGGTCTGATAAGTCCTGACAGGAAGACGCTCAACGACAGATTTGGGCGCTCGCCACCGACGGCGTCGTATGCGAGATCGCAGGAGAAGCAATACATATACAACGGTCAAAGTAACTAATGGGCTAACAACAAGCACAAGAAGAGTGTCGAAGAAAGGGCTACTGGAGACATTTGTCGGAGTAAGCGTAACCCAAAGTCCTTTGTGTTGCGCTTGTGTGTTGATGTACCCGTTATTTGTAGGTAACTCGTTTCCATTTGACATGGCTGCCATAGATGTTGTGGCCGTTGCTTTCTGACCTCCGTTGGCAGATGTCTGAAGAATATTAGGAACACGCCAATCTTGCTCGCCAGTAACAACACCGCCTGAAGCCTTTTTAGGCATCGAAAAAGGAACTGTAGCCTTCGTCTCTATAGGCTTGTCGTCGTTGTTCAAACTGTCCATCTCCAGCCATTCAAGATTGCCACTAGTCGGTGGTCGTCGGCTCCCGGCCTTGGGTGCGTTTTCACTGAAACCAACCCTAAACAAAGCCATGAACGAGTGTAACCAACCCGTTTGGGACGTGGTAGCTGTTCCTTTTGTGGTCTTATGGTTGTACTCTTTATCATCAGCTGCGGGCCCTGACTCCTTGGCGGCCTTCTGGATATAATCTGGGGAATTTTGAGCAGCATCCGTGAGTACACGTTCGTTCGGCATCAAAGAAGATAAAAGATGGGCGGTCGTATGCGACGTGAAGAGAGACGGGATAGTGATGTTGGAGGTATCTCCTTTGGCGTACATCCTCACGAGCGCGCCGCCGCGAACATCATCACCCACAATGACAGCTATCCCACCACGCGACTGTGCCCACTGCACTTTGGCCAAGAAACCACAGCCACCTCGCTTGAGGAGCACAATCTTGCCTGTGATCTCTGCGCTCTCTTGAAGTGATTGGATATCAGCGTGAAGACCTCCTGGCTGTGCGTGCGCCTTGAAGCCATGGGGCTGCAAATGATCGTCTGTACCATCATCTGTCACGACGTCATCAGATGAATCGCGTCCGCTCTCAAAAACTTTATCCTTCGGGGTAACATCCTTGCCCAACATGGTATTCCTGAGTTTGTTTCTGGTGTTTGCGGTCGTTTGCGGGGTGGTAACAAAATCATCGCCGTCGTCGTGCCAGCCAGGCACATCGCTGCAGCCCAACTCGCCCTCAGCACCTATGGTATCATCGTCGAAGCCACTGCCAACCCACAGAGGGCCGCTCAAGCCTTCTTTGGGCAGCAAAGGACCGAATGCGGCGGGCCGAGCGAGGAAGAAAGTCGAGTTATCGTCGGTCAGGCTAATAATGGCAGACGGCGGAAATAGCGAGCCTGGTGAAGCAAACGAGAACAGGGCTTTGAAGCGACCGGGACTTGAAGTGGATGATATACTCCCCTGGTCAGCATCTACAGAACTCCCCAAAATCATGTACAGGACGATGGTGAAGGCCGCAAGGCTCGTGGAGAGCGACACTATCAGGCGGAGTGGTCGCATGCTTGCGGTAGTTGTCGGATAGACGCAAGCTCAGAGGAAAAAAAGCAGCAGCACGCGCTGGAAATCTAGCAGAGGAAATGCATGGACTGATATAAGGCAGCTGGGCGTGGTGTGATCTCTGTTGACTGTCACGAGGCGCAAGTTGAGGGCGGGGAGCGTGGACTACTGGATGACGCGGTACCAATAGTGGCGGGGAGACTGGGCCACTTTGTGCAGTCGGAGCTGGAAGAAGGATCAGCGCACAAAAGAGAAGAAGAAAAAAGCGAACAGGAAGCGGCACAGTGGATATGTGAAATATAGGCAAGGCGGCTAGCGAAGAGCCGAAAGGCACTGTTTCATGGATCGCAGGCGGATGCTAGGAGCAGCCCAACATGATGTCGCAATGGATTGGGAAAGGCGCTAGGGGGATCGGTCACGGGCGCATGTGAAGATCACGCCCCTCCAGGTTAGAGATTATCTTAGTTCTGCGAGAACCTATGTACTACACGTATGCAGCTTAGCACGGATTATTCTAGCATTCAGCATACATCTTGCACTACATGTGTCACGATACTTGGACCTCAGTCCAGGAAGGGCAACATTCGGAGACCCGTTGGGGACCCCTTCGGCTAGAAGGACCAGAAGGGCATAGTCACGTGCACAGAGTACACGGCTCCCATCTGAATCGAGGGCGATTCCTTAACAATTCGTCTTAATCCAACCCTAACCAACAGATTCACGGCTACCCGCGAAAAACCTCAAAAAATGACTACTAGCATACCCATATTGTTGCAAGGTAAAGTTTGCTCGATGTCGCGTAAGCATTGTGTGAGCCATCGATCTTGGTTTCTGGGTAACCGTCTGCAAACTACACCCACCGTCACGAGTTTAGGTCCAATACTCGCTGCGTTGTATTTGTGCATAAAGCAAAGTTATGTGTATTCTTCTTTCGTAATCAATCTTACTGGAACACGTCATTAAACCTAATTATCAGATATTGACGGCACACTTTTCCCATCGTATGATAGTAAGCAAGGATAAAGCATCCGAGACGGATCGCCAAAGCGATTATAGATGCCCCCTATGTGTTTCATCGACATGTCCTAGAGCAATACAGCAGAATGTATAGAGCAGCGTCCTATTGGCGACTGCTGTCCCTAATTCAGAAGGCACACTACATCGCAAAAATGCACTGTCGCACATGTTGCTATGTTCACGACCGCAAATATCCGCGGGCAATTGAATTTAGAAATATCAACATACTTTGCATGGATCTTGATCACTCCGCATGATGCGGTCGAACACGACATGTCGGTGGGTGGGCAGTCAGCGCTGTGTTGTGGTTATATTCGCGTCTCTGCCTTCTTCATCTATCCTATTCGTTTCCACTGTCACCACAGTTTTCCGAGTCTTCCAGCCAAACGAATCTGATATGCATCTCGCGATGATAAGAAATCACAAAATTCTTTTGTTCGTAGCCTTGTCCATCGCACATTATGTAGCAGCAAGCAAGTTGCAAGACAGAAGCGTTGATCTGCCCGTTGCCGAACACCTCGTTCCCATTCATCATATATCTTCTTCTTCTTCTCAGCTCTCTCGCCGAGACGAATTTCTCTCAAGCGAGGAAATCGCTCTTCCAGGGCACGTTACTGGGTTGCGTAATGCCCGCGATATCTTTGGGGTCGACGTCCAGGTCGGAGACGAAGTGTCTACTCTGATTTTCAACACAGGGGTTCCGTTTACATTGGTCTTTGCGCCAGGATTTCAATGCTCAGACCAAGACGGGAACAAGTAGTAAGTCCTCTTAAGCTGGAAGATACTTCTACACACTATGCCCGACTAATCACTATTTGGTATTGTTATACAGTACTACGGATACGTGCCCGTTCACTGCCCATGATACCGCCAGTTTCTCTGGTGGCAAGATAAACGGCCCGATTCTGAATATCACCTACGGAGATGGGACTGGTGCTTCAGGGCCACGAGGTTACGAGAAAGTCGGCTTAGCTGGTATTCATATTAACCGACAGGAGATAGCCATCTGCGACCACGCTGTAGAACAGAATTGGACGACAAAGCCATTAGGTGGTTACGCGGGTCTGTCACGCATTACTTGACACCTCTTTGGTGTATATCTTCATTGACCTGACCGTTCACAGGGTTTTCATTTCCAAACACCGATACTCAAGAGCTAAAGGCGAACTACTCATACGTAAGTACTCTACTCTTCAGAAATCAGTAGCCGACCTGCTTTGTTGACCTCGTTCGCAGACACCGTGGATTTTCACTGCTTATGAACAAGGCCTGATTCATCCACCCGTTTTCTCTGTCGCCCTAAATCCCGTTTACAAGGACTCAGTCGACTTTGCAAGTAATGGCGCGCTAGCTATTGGAGGCCTGCCACCCAATGTACCAACTACTGGATCGTGGGCGATTACACCAGTGATTAGCGATTTTGCGGATGGGGTAATACGATACTGGACCATCATACCGGATGGCTTTACAGTCAAGTCCAAAGAGTCAGCATTTCTACAACCGGTGCGTTTTGATTGCCTATAAACTAATTGATTGTGAAAAAAAAGAAATCCACGTGGCAAGTTTGTGCAATGGACTGAACAAGCGAAATATATTCCTGGACTTCGTCGATTGCAAGTTGTCTCCTCTGTTTGGGGCGTTATCCTTCCAAAACCATATATCGACGAGATCTACAAATCTATTGATCCACCCCCTTACCAAACAAAGGACGGAGATTGGGTAGCTAACTGCAATGTACGTGTGGATATCAAAAGAAAAAAATGACAACCAGGCGCTAATACAGCTTCCAGGCATCTTATGCGGGTGCGAGTGTACGTATTGGAGGTGTGGATCTTTTTCTTGATCGTGCCACAGTTATAACTTCACAATTCGGAGACGATCTTGAACCGGGCCAGTGTACCCTCGGTGTATACGTAGGGTCCTACTTACTTGGAGCCAATTTCCTTAGGAGTGTTGTAGCGGTACATGACATGACCAAAGGGAAGGAAAGAATGCTTTTCAAGCAGAGGGTGTTTCAAAAATAACTTGTGACGAAGTGGTTGAGTAATCGGACAAGAACGTGTGGCAGGCGTTGACATGTAACGATTACTTGGTGTCGAACAACTGCTATCAGACTTTACCAGCATCCTGTACAGCTCAACTCTCTAATGTCACAATTTTCACAAAATAGCGCATGTGAAAGACGCTTACATGATACCTAATTTGGAGGCGGCGCTTGCTACACAAGTAGCTATGTTGATGCTACGATAGTATCCTAAGGACAATTTCAAACAAGGCGAAGAAAGGGCACCCGTACATCGTTTATGACCGGTGTTCGCAGTGGGGTTTCTTCATATTGCAGTCTACAGGTGACAGTGAATGTATCACTTCCGAAAACCCCTCCTGCTAGAGTAGCCACAGTCATGTGCATATGGCAAATGGCTTCTGTCTGAACCCTTGAGCACAATTCAAGTATTTTTCCTTACCTAGTTATTACTGACATCCTTATGCCTACTTGCTATATAGCGTCACATGAAGATCCTCCAGAAACTAACCTTAGTTTGTAGTTGAAGCTACAGCCAAGCCCTAGCTTGTGATACACGCCTTCTCTAGTGTGCGGACCCTTCAACATGCAGTGATGACAGGCACTCTGGAAGTACCTGCCAACTTTATTGTTGGCCAGTGGCCTTTCCTGTTCTACTCTTTAACACCACCTCTCTCACGGATCCAGTTCATCCCCAAACAACACACATCCAACTTATACAATCATTTTGCAATCCCTAAGTATCTCTAGCTCCTCTCCGACTCTTTTTAACAGCATAAATCGTACTTTCCGATCCCCATGCCAACCACGGTGACAGGATATTCAGCAGACCCGACCTACTCGGGGGAGCGACGGCATGGTCTCAGAGGGCTTTCCGACAAAACCCGTCACCTGCTGATCGCGTTTCTGGGCGAGCTAATCGGCACATTTCTCTTCCTGTTCTTCGCTTTTGCTGGTACTCAAGTTGCAAACAATGTCCGAAAGATCAACGGCAACTCAAACATGGATCTAGCATCGTTGCTATACATCTCTCTGTCCTTTGGGTTTTCTCTAGCAGTCACTGTTTGGGTCTTCTTTCGCATCAGCGGAGGCTTGTTCAATCCTGCTGTACGTATTACCTTCTTGCTCTGAGCTGGCTTGCGCCACTGACATTGCCTAGGTGACAGTCGCCTTGAGTCTTGCCGGAGCCTTTGGGATCATCAAGGCTTTGTTGCTCATCGTTGCACAGTTCCTCGGTGCCATTATCGCTGCAGCTATAGTCTCTGGGCTCTTACCTGGACCTTTGGCTGTGAACACAACCCTCAGTTCCGACACTTCAGTGACGAGAGGCTTGTTTATCGAAATGTTCCTTACTTTCATGCTTCTTCTTACCATCTTCATGCTAGCGGCAGAGAAGCACAGGGCCACCTTCCTCGCCCCGCTTGTCATTGGGCTTGCGCTTTTCATTGCTGAGCTTGCCGGCGTATACTTCACTGGAGCCTCCTTGAATCCTGCTCGTTCCTTCGGGCCTGCTGTTATCACGGGTGTTTGGCCTGGTCATCACTGGATCTACTGGCTTGGGCCTTTGCTCGGTGCCTTGCTCGCAGTAGGCTTCTACAAGTTGCTCAGGCTACTCAATTACTCGACTGCAAATCCAGATGCAGACAGCGATGGCCTTGAGAAGCACCTCACCCATAGGGTGGACAGCAGTGCAAACCGTTACGACACTACCCACAATGGTATGTCACCAAGGTTCTCCTTTGAAGCTGATCTGACCTTTCTACAGCTCGGTATGCCGCTACAGATGGAACAGAAGAGCGAGGTATTGCGAGCCAAGCACAACTTAGCGAAAGACAGCCAGTCACAGCCTCAAGTCAGCCTAGGCCGTCTGTTGCATGGCCTCCAATGCCGACTTCAGTCTACATCCAGGCGCTAAATGGCCATCGTTCTGAGACGATCGACCATCCCAATGACCGCCCGCGTGCGCATCACACGTATAGTTCTTCAGGTTACGAGATATCATCGGATTCAAGCTATCGCAGCGGCCCAAGTGCAGAGTCTGGCAGCTTGGGATCATAGACTGGCTCGTCAGCTAGCTCAAGTTCAAGATATCATCGGTCGCCTAGCGCACCGGATGGAAAGTCGTCTAAGAGGGGGAGCATCCTCGACGACGTGCTGTATTCGACATGTTGTTACCTACCGTATTTTATACTTCAGTCTTGCTTCTGTCCACACAAGTAGGTGGAAGTGAGTAGGGAAAGCTGCTTTAACGACCTAGTGGGCATGAGAGGGGTATAGGATGGTGTCTGGTCTGTTGCATGGTATAAGCTCTCTCCCGCCTTTCCTCACATCGGTTTCCTATAGCATCACACAATAAGAAATGACACAGTTTCTTCTAGGAGAGATATTCTGTTGGTCGAGTAGATATTGTAGAGTCTTATCTCCCTAACTGATTTCTCATTGTCTATTTAAGTGTAATGCATGGGCCAAAGTTCGATGTCGATGCTAAAGAGAAAGTTCACCTGAAGGGAAGGCAATATCTGCCAAGCCAATCAGCGACCCAATGTGGACTAGCGCAACGCGTCGACGCGTTCCCTATCGCCCCAGAGTCCGGTAGTCGCATGGATACCGCCATCTCACTGCCGTTGCCATTACCCTCCTCAACACTTGCCATAGCACTAGCAAAATGGCTCGCGGTGTCGAAGGAAACGAAATGTCGACGCCTCGCCCATCCCAAAAGAAGCAACCTTCCTCAGTCTCTCAGTCAGGGAAGGGACAGAAATCTATTCTCGGCTTCTTCCAGAAGAAGTCTACCAATTCACCAAGCCCCGCACCGTCTGATGTCACACCAGTCCAAAAAACGCTCACTTCTAAAATAGCCTCAAAGGCTTTTACAAAGCCTTCCACTGCCATCACACCGGTTCCTAGCAGCGATGCTCCGGACTACTCAAGTCCTATCAAACAAGACCGAGAGCTTACAGTAGGGCGGAACAAGGAGAATGGTTCGTTGTTGCTTGTCAGACAGCTAAGTTCATTCACTGAGCAACATTTCCAGAAATAGCAGATGTTACTCCTAGTAGCCCAACACGTAAAGTATGCCGACACACCATTGTATGCTCAATACACATCATGCTAACTCTTACGGTAGGCTAGAAAACCCGTCAATTATGCCGAATCCGACGATGAAGATGACGATGTACTCGGACCTATCGCAAACAACGCGAGGGGTCGGGCTACAAAGCGCCAGCGAGTGGTTGTCGACGACGACTCCGACGATGAGTTTGGCTTGGACGCTGCCACACAAAGAGCAATGCTGGAAGAAGAAGAAGAAGACGACGATGTTGATGACTTCATCGTACCGGATGATTCTGAGGAAGAAGTCGTATCGAAGAAGCGCAAACGTCCAACATCTACAAAGCCACGCACCAAAGTCTCACCTGCATCATCGCCACCACCTATTGTCAATGACAACGATCTCGACGATGAAGCAGATATCGTAATTAATAGCACATCCACAGCACAGCAATGGATCTATGACCCCGAGAACCCTACGGTATTCAAGCCACGAAAGGCGGTTCCTTCTTTGAAGAAGGAACTAAGTGTAAGAGCCAAAGCGAAGCCCTCTGCTTCAGAGCCTGAAGCAAGATACCCGTGGCTGGCAAATATGCAAGACGCCGACCGCCATCCGCCAGACCATCCTGATTACGATCCTCGTACCTTGTTCATCCCGCCAGCTGCCTGGCGTGAATTTTCGCCTTTTGAAAAGCAGTACTGGGAGATCAAGAGCAAGTGGTGGGACACTATAGTTTTCTTCAAGAAAGGAAAGTTTTACGAGCTCTACGAGAAAGATGCATCAATTGGCCACCAGCTCTTTGATCTCAAGCTGACTGATCGTGTCAACATGAGGATGGTGGGTGTTCCCGAAGCCTCGTTGGATATGTGGGCAACACAGTTTGTTGCTGCTGGCTACAAAGTGGCTAGGGTTGACCAGATGGAGTCTGCTCTGGGCAAAGAGATGCGCGAACGTGACGATAAGGGCAAAACGCCAAAGAAGGCTGAGAAGAAGGGCAAGGAAGTCATTCGTCGAGAACTGGCCACTGTCCTAACATCAGGTACTCTTGTCGACACTGGTATGCTCCAGAGCGAAATGTCGACCTACTGCATGGCGATCAAGGAGATTGACCGGGACAATTTGCCCGCTTTCGGAATTGCGTTTGTTGACACCGCAACTGCGCAGTTTCAGCTCTGTGAGTTTACAGATGATATTGATATGACCAAATTTGAAACTCTCATTGCACAAATGAGGCCCGGCGAGTTGCTCTTAGAAAAGTCGTGTGTTTCAGCGAAGGCGCTTCGTATTCTGAAGAACAACACCGGACCAACCACCATCTGGAACTGGCTGAAGTTGAATAAAGAATTCTGGCCAGCTGATATCACCATCCGAGAAATCGAAGTCAACAACTATTTCGAGTCACCAACAGAAGACAATATCGAAGCATGGCCACCGGTGTTACGCGAAGCCCGCGAGAAAGAACTTGTCATGTCCGCATTCGGTGCTCTCCTTCAGTATCTGCGAACACTGATGATTGAGCGCGATCTCGTTACGCTGGGCAACTTTCAGTGGTACGATCCTATTCGCAAAGCGACAAGCTTAGTGCTCGACGGACAAAGTTTGATCAACCTGGAAATCTTTGCAAACACGTTTGATGGAGCGACAGAGGGCACATTGTTCGCTATGCTGAACCGCTGCATCACACCGTTTGGCAAACGACTACTCCGACAATGGGTTTGCCATCCGCTGGCAGACGCACAAAAGATCAACGCTCGCCTTGACGCCGTGGATGCGCTGAACAAGGACTCGGCCATTATGGAGAACTTCAGCGGCTCACTGAGCAAACTGCCGGATCTTGAGCGTCTTATCTCCCGTGTGCACGCTGGCCGTTGCAAGGCACAAGACTTCCTAAAGGTCTTGGAAGGTTTCGAGCAGATTGAGTACACCATTAGTTTGCTGAAGCAGTTTAGCGAAGGAGAGGGCGTTATTGGCCAGCTCATTTCATCGATGCCGGATCTAGCTGCATGTCTCGAGAAGTGGAAGTCTGCCTTTGACCGTGAAGCAGCCAGGAAAGATGGGATTTTGATCCCTGAAGCTGGTGTCGAAGAAGACTACGATAACAGCCAGGCGGAGATTGATAGTTGCGAGGCTAACCTCGAGACGCTGTTGAAGAAGGTGCGCAAAGAACAGGGTTCAAATGCAATCATCTACAACCACCTCGGAAAGGAGATTTATCAACTGGAAGTGCCGAAGAAGGTCAAGGTGCCCAATAGCTGGGACCAGATGTCAGCCACAGCTAAGGTCACTCGTTACTACACGCCCGAGTTGCGGAAGCTGGTGCGAGCATTGCAAGAAGCGCAAGAGACTCACGGTCAGATCACTCGCGAGGTTGCCACTCGCTTCTGTCAGCGCTTTGACGAAGACTACAAGATTTGGCTTGCAGCAGTCAAGATCATTGCCCAGCTCGACTGCCTCATCAGTCTTGCAAAAGCGTCTGCATCGCTGGGAGAGCCAAGTTGCCGACCTGTCTTCATAGAGGGCGAACGAACTGTTGTTGAGTTCGAGGAGCTTCGCCACCCGTGCATGCTCAACACCGTCGACGACTTCATTCCCAACGACATTAAGCTGGGCGGTGACGCAGCCAACATCAGTCTGCTCACGGGTGCCAACGCAGCCGGTAAATCCACCATTCTCCGTATGACATGCATAGCTGTTATCCTCGCTCAAGTGGGTTGCTACTTGCCGTGTACATCGGCCAGACTCACGCCCGTCGACCGCATCATGTCTCGTCTGGGCGCCAACGACAACATTTTCGCCGCCCAATCCACTTTCTTCGTCGAACTGTCTGAAACACAAAAGATTCTGTCGGAAGCGACATCGCGGTCGCTGGTCATCCTTGACGAACTTGGTCGTGGTACCTCATCCTACGACGGCGTGGCAGTCGCACAGGCCGTGCTGCACGACGTTGCATCGAGAGTGGGCTGCGTGGGCTTCTTTGCCACGCACTACCGGTCACTCGCCAAGGAGTTTGAATTCCACCCCGAAGTACAGAATAAGCGGATGCGTATTCATGTCGACGACGAATCTAAATCGATCACCTTCTTGTACAAGCTTGAAGAGGGGGTTGCAGAGGGCAGCTTTGGTATGCATTGTGCTGCCATGTGCGGGATCCCAAGCAAGGTCATCGAGGATGCGGAGAAGGCGGCTAAGGAGTGGGAGCATACGAGTAGGCTGGGTGAGAGGATGGAGGTGAAGAAGGATGAGGGTGGTGTATATGTGCCGCTGGGTCTGCAGAGTGATGTTGCGTGGGCGCTGCGAGAAGGGTTGGAGGGTGTAGGGGAGAGGGCAATGGATGTACTGCTAGAGGCTATTGCTGCGCTTTGAGTTGTGGGAGGGGGTTTGTGGATGTTATGTAAGATGGAACAAGCGGGCGCCATGTAGTGTCAAGGTGGTGGGGGGCGTGTATATGTAGATGTGTACTCTGTATTCTTAGCGATTAAGCATTTCTTTTTCTAAGGGTTGATAGATAAATCAAGACAAAGGGTGTTGATGTGCATTAGACGTGCATCGTCGTCGTATTAGCGACACCTCATTGCAGTCTCTCACGAGTATAATATCTACACTGGATATATTCACTCCACTGTGCAATAGGTGTAAAGTAGCTGCATCTACCTAACCCTCCTGAAACACAAACACAAATGCCTGCAGATTTCCTCCATCCATATCCCTCATTACCCTGTCTCGTTGGTTGGTTACAAGTAAACAAACTTGCATAACAGACTTCAGTTCCTACCACTGTTACCAACAGCATATGCCTCGATTCCGCTCAAGAACCCATAATCCTCAATCTCCTCCTCCTTCTTGACACCAGACACATCGCACTTAATGACCTCGTCATCATCCTCGACATCGTCTTCCTCGCGCATCGGCATCTTGCCCTTCTTACTGGGCGTCGCATCTGCCACCAGCGCAGCGTTCTTGCGCTTGCGAGGCGTAGTAGAGGCGGGGGTAGCAGCTTTCTTCTTGGGCGTGGACTTGGAGGGTGTGCCGGGCGTGTCTTGGAGAGACTCACCGAGGAGCTTGAGCTTGGATTTGATTTTGCCGAAAGTGACGCTGGCGCTGCCGGGGGTGTAGCCGGCGAGGGCGCCGAGTTTGGCCATGTCGATCTGGGGGGTTTGGTCAGTGGATTGCAGGGAGAGGTGGAAGGGATGGAGAGGTGTACCTTGGGCTGGGTTTCCATGCACTGCCATGCGAGGGCGAGGACTTCCATCTCGCGCGGAGTGAAACTGACGTCTTTGGAGTTGGAGGGTGCCATGGTTGGCAGTGTTGATGTTGATGTTGTTGCTTTGTAGATGACACGAAAGTTATGGGTAAAGGGGATGTTGTACGAGAGCAGGAGGAAGTTTAGGTGACAGAGTTAGGAGGGCGACAAAGTTTTATACGTTGACGCATTAGACGCTAACAAGCAACTCAGTGAGAGGTGAAGCTAGATTAAGCATGCTTGGTATTCATAGTGAGAGCACGCAGGGAAACCTAAAGAGGCCTAAAGAGGCGCTTTCACCCCACTTTTGGGCATGTTTACTAGGCAGTGAAAAACCATGTGGAAGAGTGAGAGTGGTTAATTGGCAGCACGCGAGATGGTTCCCGGGTATGTATGGAACAGTGATTTTATTTTATCGTCGCGGACGCAATGTGTACAGCATGCAACATGGCATAGCAATGCTGTTATATCCGGCGAACTTCTTTACCTTGAAGCTCTGGTCTTTGTACGTCCAGCTCATCTCTCAGAGCTGCATACAAGGAGTCACCTAGGATGATGGAAAGACCCAGACTCCAGACCAAGGTGATGGCATAAAAGAAGTTGGCGTTGCCCGAGCCAGCATATACCCATAAGTGGTAGAAGGCAGGGCCAAGGAAGGATGTGTAAAGAATGCTGGCTGATGCTAGGAAAGTGTAACGCATGACTGGGGCTCAGTCAGTAGGATGGCCACGTGCCATGGGAATAGGATACTTACGAGGGAACAAATGTCGGAACATGGGCACCAAGGACAGATACAAGGCAGCATCGGCTATGCTGGGGTATGGAGTGAAGATGGCAAAGACTCCAGTCAATGAGCAAGCAACAAACAAGGGCTGCTTGTGGAGGCGGATAGTCAGGCCTGGCATGTACGAGGCGGCATGTAGCCAGAAGACGCCTAGGAAGAACTCGCGGAAAGAGTCAAACATTTCAATGAAGAAGTACCACCAGAGACCAACGTTGGGTGTCAGATCTGGAAGCAAAAGACGCACACCATACGTGGCAGCCAAAAAATCCCACGAGCCGGTCAAGAAAGCAGAGCCGACCAGCAAGGCGCCAATTGCGGCTGCGAGGCCAATTGTGTGTACGATGACAAACGTGGGGAGATGCGGGGTCGACTTTTTCTTGAGGGCTTTTGCATCGTACAGCAGGACCATCAGGGGTGGGAAGAGCAGAACAGGATGCATAGCAAGGTACGAAGCAAAGGCCGTGGCCAGAATGAATGTAAAGCTGGCGCCCTGAGAAGCCTTTGCCATGGCAGCGAGGACGAAGAGGTTCGTCAGGGCCGAGGTTGAGCGGGCGAGACATGTTGCGACGGTAAAGGGACTGAATAAGAAACTGATGGATATGTCAGCATAGGGGCCATGAAGGGGAGACATAGGCAGTACCCAGCCGCGATGGCAGCGCTACTCCACCTCAGGTCCTTGCGCGGGGAGGCAAACAGGCGCGTGACCGAGGCGAAGCCCGTGTCTGCCAACTGGGCTAATGAATGCGCGCTCAGCAGGTCGACGAGGGTGAAGAAGACGTAGGTCGCAAGAGGGGCTATGGCGGGATGGGACAGCAGGGCAAAGAGCGGCAGTAGGAGGGGCGCCTGGTGGTAGACGCCGCCATCGTAGGGCGAGACATTGTGCGTATAGAGGAAGAGACCTTCTTGGACTATGTGGTGTCAGCAATGGCAGAGGGATGGGGAGGTATACATGGCAGGACATACGCCGTTTGAAGCTTGTCACCGGAGTGGAGACCTCGACGCGGCCGGCCAGGACATCGGGTAGGGCGGGGAAGAGGGTGAAGAGCAGCAGGCGGACGGCAGCAGCAGCGCCGAAGAGCAGCAGGCGGTGCTGGCTGTCAATGGCCATGGCTTGAGTCGCAGCCGACGTGGTGTTGTGGCAGGATATCCATGCATCCACCTATGTCGTCGGCAGTAGGGATGCATGGCGGCGGGCCCTTGTCGCCGCTAACGCCGCAATCCCTGTCTACTAGCCGCTGCATCTCGAACTTTTTTGCGCCCGCCCAAAAGTTGCTCGCCTGGCACCGACACAAACTGCAACAACCTTACAACTACTGCGACTCATCATGGCCGGGCGCAGCAAGAAGAAGGGTTAGTATCTGCCATTGTCCCTTGATTGAAAACACAAAGATGCTGACTCATCCCACACAGGCACCTCCGGGGCTGCCAAAAACTACATTACCCGCACGCGCGCCGTTAAGAAGCTCCAGATTTCCCTCCCAGATTTCCGCCGGCTATGTATCTTCAAGGGCATCTACCCCCGTGAGCCGCGCAATAAGAAAAAGGTCTCGCGCGGCTCCACAGCTGCTACCACATTCTACTACACAAAGGACATCCAATACCTGCTCCATGAGCCGCTGCTGGCAAAGTTCCGCGAGCACAAGGCCGTCGCAAAGAAGATTGGCCGCGCCCTCGGCCGTGGCGAAGCTGGCGATGCATCGCGCCTTGAGAAGAACCTTATGCCCAAGGTCAAGCTCGACCACATCATCAAGGAGCGCTACCCCACCTTTGTCGACGCTCTGCGCGACCTCGACGACGCCCTATCCATGCTGTTCCTCTTCGCCAACCTGCCCTCGAGCGACCACATCCCCGCAAAGACAATTGCCCTCTGCCAGCGCCTGACGCGCGAGTTTGAGCACTACGTAATCACCTCGCACTCGCTGCGGAAATCATTCCTTTCCATCAAGGGTATCTACTACCAGGCCACCATCCAGGGCCAGGACATTCTATGGCTCGTCCCCTACCGCTTTGTCCAGCGCACCGGAGGAGACATTGACTTCCGTATCATGGGCACCTTTGTCGAGTTCTACACTACCCTCCTTGGTTTCGTCAACTACCGTCTATACACCTCCGTCGGCCTCGTCTACCCACCAAAGTTCAATGCCAAGAGCGACGAGCAGGGTGGCGAGCTGTCTGCCTTCCAGCTTCAAGGCAAGGTCAATGCCACAAACGGCACCGCCAATGGTCATGCCGAGCATGCTGACGTCAACCCGGAGGCGCAAGCAATCGCCGACAAGCTTGCTGCCATGCCCGACGATGAAGATACCCAGGAATCAACAGCCTTAGCCAAACGTAGTGAAGATGATGAGGAAGAGGCTAACGACGAGATTGACAAGTTCGAACCAACTGCGCCTGACGCCGATATCCTGCCCCAGCCACAAGCAAGCAGCGCCGAGGTTGCTTCGTTGTTCGCTCCCTTTACCTTTTACCTCTCGCGAGAGACACCCAGAGCACCTCTCGAATTCATCCTCAAGGCCTTTGGTTGTAAGCGCGTTGGTTGGGACGGCACGCTCGGCGACGGCGCCTTCACCACAAACGAATCCGATCCCAACATCACACATCAGATTGTTGACCGACCGGCATTATCAAATGGAGCGTCTGCACAAGACAATAAGAATGGCGACACTGCTGCCCCCAAGGCCCAGTGGCCCTATTCCATGATGCCTGGTCGCACCTATGTCCAGCCACAATGGGTCTGGGACTGCATCAACCAGAGCAAGCTGCTGCGTCCTGACCACTATGCTCCTGGTGCCGACCTACCCCCACATCTGAGCCCATGGGTGAAGCCCAAGAAGGGCGAGTACGACCCCAACTTGCCTCTTGCAGCTCAACAGCCCGAGGGCGAGGCCGAAGCATTCGAAGACGAGGATGAAGAAGATGCCGCCGTGGATTCGGATGGCGACGAGAACATGGATGCCATTGTCGACCGTGACGGTTCTGTTGAGATTGGAGAGGGCATGGATGTCGCCGATTCTGAAGACGACAGCGATGACTCTGACTCAGACGAAGAGGCTGGCGCTGCTGACGACTTTGACGGCTTCGACTCAGATGCCGAGTCTGACATTTCCGAGGGCGAGGCTGCCCGTCTTCAGCACCAACGCGAGCTTGAGGCTGAAGCCCTAGGCAAGAAACTTGAGGTCAAGAAACCAACAAAGAAGGAGCAGAATGCAGCCATCCGCAAAAAGGCCGAGAAGAAGAGGCGCGAGCAAGAGGAAGAGCGCGAGAGGCAAAAGATGATGTTGTCAAACAAGAAGCGCAAGTTGCTCAAGCGCATCGAGTACGGCGAGAATAAGCGCGATAATGAATCCGAAAACCTGCGTAGGAAGCGCGCAAAGGTTGAAAAGGCAAAGGCAGCTGCAGAGGCACTCTAGGGGCGTATTGCATATCTCCACATGACAGCAAAAAAGCAGGGCAGGTCGGCGTTGATTTGGGACGGTGTTGTAGGCGCTCTACCACGTATTTTCAAAGTTGCTCTATGTAGTTCGATTGAAAAATACCACCATTGACCGTTTGTTGTTGTTGTTGTCTACCTACGGTCCATTCATCATCTTTGCATGTTTGACTTTAAGATTGTCGGGCCACGCGATCAAAATGCTCAGGTGACTACTAGAAACGACAGAAATGGAAACTGGGAAGCAACAGCGAAATGAGATATGATGATGATGATAACACCCTCGTCTGATGTTCGATAGCAAGAAACCTAAGGGTGGGCTTTTTCTGTTTGTTTGCTCGTCTAACTGCGCCTTCCGTGTACCTTGTGGGCCTCAGGTACATTCGGTATATTCGCCAATCGCCTTTCGACATGGACATCAATATATTGGGTCAGCAAAAAAAATGAGGGGGGGAGGCAACGGACCGAGACTGGGACGTCTTTTTTCGCACTGTGTGAAGTCTCCGCATTCTCCTTTTTGTGGAGGAGATATGCAGGAACCATGGTTACTAGCTCTTTTGGCGAAGCGGGGGGAATGGGCCAGGTACCGTTATGTACGTGCAATGGTGAGGTGTGATTGTGGTTTACCCTGCGGGGTTGCAGACCGTGGTTATTTTCTGGGGTTGAAGAGTGTGGCGAGGAATGAAGATATCGAGGGTGGTTTATACATACGCACTTGGGTGTGTGTGTGTGTGTGTGTGTGTGTGTGTGTGTGTGTGTGTGTGCTTTCAAGCGATGAAGCTTGAATTCCCTACCCGTGTCTTATCTTTGGTTAAGGCATGATTGAGGTGAAGCAAAATTGGCAAATAAGAGAAATATCATGGGGTAGTCAGTGTGCGGGGAATGGCTCAGTTGAACCATGGTTCTGAGCGCGGGCCGTCACGCATTTTTGTCCAAAGCAATGAAACGTATTGCACATACGACAAAAATTGAACGTAACTATGGTTATGAAGGCTCTCGGACCAGCCCGTTTTTGAGATTTATTACCCAATACCCTGATCAACACAATACATAAGAACTGCCATGTCCAGCATTCCTTATCTCTCGACCCTCAAGTAATCTCATGGTTTGACGACTGAGCCCCAGCATCTTCTCACAAGTTAAATCCCATTCAAAAACTTAATCACTCACGCATAGTCGGTCTATTGACTTTATCTCACGTACTGTGTGAGCAAGTCTTGACTGAGATAACACACATCATGGCTACATACCTCAGGAGGAGCAGCGACGCTTCCACTAGCCGCAAGAAACAACCAAACGACGACATCGAAATGGTTCCTACACGGAGTGCCGAAACAGGGTCCAGCGGCGCTTTCAAGCTCGACGAGGCGAATTCCGTGGAAAAGACGGGCTACATGTTCTCCACGAAGAAGAAGTGGCAGATCCTGACTGTTGTGGCTTTATGCCAGACCAGTATGAGTATGTAAACCCACTCACTTGCGCAACATCGAGGCTGCGCAGAACTAACGTTTTGATTAGATTACAACGCCGCCGTCTATTCAAACGCCATCGGACGTCTCAATGAGCATTACAATCTTGGAACCAATCACTTCACCAACGCCAGAGCGGGAATGGCTTGGTTCCTGATCCTGTATGGCTTCGGGTGCGAGCTCTGGGCTCCTTGGTCCGAAGAGTTTGGCCGGTGGCCCATCATGCAAGTGTCGCTGTTCACTGTCAACATGTGGCAGATACTTGCCGGTGCCAGCACCTCCTGGCATCAAGTCCTGATTGCACGTCTCTTCGGCGGCCTTTGCTCTGCAGGCGGCTCTGTGACACTTGGAATGGTTGCAGATATGTTTGAACCTGAAGACCAGCAGATGCCCATTCTCTGGGTCAGTCTGTGGAGTTGCTTGGGCTCTGGTATGTTCGATTCGTAAGCTTGAGATTCAAGTACATTTGCTAACACATTTATAGTCATTGGTGGTATTTGTGGTGGTCCTATTGAGCAGTTCCTGAGCTGGCGCTGGAACTTCTGGATCCAGCTCATACTCGGTGTCACTGTCCAGGTCATCCACGCATTCTACGTTCCGGAGACCAGAGCGACGGTTATGCTTAACAAGGAAGCGAAGAGGCGACGCAAAATCAATCCCGATGACAATGCTGTTGGACCCACTGAAGACGCAAAACTTGACTGGAAGAAGGTAGGAAGCATCATGGGCCGTCCATACAAGATGCTTGTTTGCGAGCCGATCGTTGGGTTTTTGTCGTTGCTGAGCGGGTTCAGCGATGCACTCATCTTCAGCTTCCTCGAGTCGTACGGTTATGTGTTTGGTAAGACCGGGTGGGGATTTACGCCCAGCCAGCTTGGACTGGCGCTATTTGCTCTCTTTATTGGCTATTGGCTAGCTGGAGTGATATATTTCCCTATTATCAGACGCCACAACCAGCTACGTGCAAGAGGCACGGTACTAAGCCCTGAGAGTCGACTCTCAGCTCTCCGCTGGGTGGTGTTGCTACTGCCAATCGGCTTGTTTGGATCAGCTTTCGTCGTTACGGGACCGCCTCTTCCATGGATTGCGCCGCTCATCTTCGCAGTACTTATCGGTTGTGCCAACCTTGCAATCTACTTTGCCACAATCGACTACATGGTGGCAGCCTACGGAGGAGAGTATTCTGCTTCGGCCACCGGTGGTAATGGTTTTGCCAGAGACGTTCTCGCTGGTATCTGCTCGTTCTATACCGGGCCAATGTACAAGAAGCTTGGTGTCAAAAACTCTACATGGGTGCTTTTTGGGATTTCTGCGGGCGTCTGTATACCAGTGTTTTGGATCTACAAATGGGGACCTCAAATCAGAGCTCGCAGCAAGTATGCGGAACAGATCCAGGAGGAGCGGGAGAAGAACGCGGCAGCTAAGGAGGCAATGCAGGCTAGGCGAGAGGCTCTACTGCAGATGAACAGTGTAGGAATATAGGCAGAAGAGGGGAGTGGAGATAGGGTACATAATCTAGAGGCAACCAATGCATTTCTATTTTGCGCACAGACCACATTGCCAAAGGGCGCAGTTCGCTCGTAACCCAGACGTGCGATCACTAGACGCCTGATGAGTCAAACTATCAAGAGCAGTGATATCTATAATTGCATGCCCTTTCCATCTTCTTGATTCTTTCTCTCATTACACACCTAGCCCATAATAAATCGAATCAACAGCATGTAGTGGTTTCAAAGTTCGCGGATCACTTACAACATAGCTAGTATTTATACCCTGTCCAACCGCATCCACCCTGGACCCTGAACGAACCAAGGTTCACACATTATCAGTACAATGTGACTTGCTACCTGATGTGCAGTGTCTCTGCATGGCAGCAACCAAACTGTGTGACTCTCTACTTGGTCCTCGGACAGCAAAAAAAATTTACCGTATGCAAAAAGTATCGGTACTATATTGAAGAGCCGCGTCACTCGTCAAACGCGCATAGAACAATCGAGCTCCACCATCGTCGCCGCTTCCTAAAACCGCAAGGTGCCGAGCCGCTGCCGGGGGGAACCACTCCGGAAAAATTGCTCAACAACAAATTTTCTAGACTGCATTTTGCAGTTTCAAACATACTCACTCTCAGAGGTATATGAGATATTCTTCAGATATGCTGGATATGCTGCTGACATTTTGTGAGCCGTGCGGCCTCCTGTATTCACCCCGGGCAACAGGCAGCCCCATCACGTGACTGGCCACTCACCGCACGGCTATTGTTGCATACGACGAACAATAGACTGGGTCGAATCATTCACCTTGAAAATTATCCTACCAGTTTAAGTTCAGAAAACCGGCACGCGTCTCGTATCTGACACCACCAACTCGAGAAACTTGCCTTACACTTTCCATCTTGACCATACCCGCCAATATCTCCAAGGAGAGAAAACGCAATCGAACATAACGAAATCAAAATGCCTTCAACAATACCCCAACCTCTCTTCCCTGATCTCCCCCCCGAACTCCGCAACGAAATCTACACGTACCTCTCTTCCCCTGTCCCGGATTCTCAACCTCTAAATTCGCACCTCCCCCTCCCCCTCAAAACCTTCACATGCAAACACACGACAATCCACCTCTGCCCCACCCACCACGGCTCCACCAGCCTACTCTCCCTCTCCTCCCCCGAAGCCCACGAATACAGCTCGTGGCTCCTCAACAACGGGATATCGCTCCACATAACCATCCACTTCAAAGGCCGCATCAACACGTTTACGCTCCCCCACTGGTCCAAAAAGATATCCACCCACCTGCACAAACTGGCGCGGCACCACCCTTGGTTGGCCAAAGTAGCGCGGTACGAGATCGATGTGGTGTGGGATCCGCTCGACGGCGCACTCCAGAGTCGGCATCAGAAACGGCGAGCGGCGCATGTGCCGCTAGATATGGCGGATGCGCTTACGCAGCTCATGCAGAGAGACGTGAAAGCCAAGCAGGGGTGTGTGGTGTTGAGGGTGCATTTTGAGAAGAGGTTTGCGGTGCTAAATGCGCTTGCCGAGAGGAAATTTGGGGTTGGGGTCTTTCTGCGGGATGGGGAGAGGTTGGCGGGGTTCAAGAGGGTGCTGAGGGAGGTGCGGATAGTGCCGTCTAATATTGTGGCGGAGAGGGAGTTGGGAGATGTGCCTGCGCCTGGGTTGCGGGTTGTGCCGTTATCGGGACCGGAGGAGGAGGCGTTGATGGTTGTGGAGGAAGGGGTGGTGAAATTGTCGGAGCGGACGCGGGGACAGATGGTTGTGAGGAGGAGGAGGAGGACGACGACGACGAGCGGTGTGGCGGATGGAGTGTGGGAGTATGGGAGAGGAGAGATGGAATTTCCCGTTTGTCAGATACTGGAAGAATGTATGGAGTGATGATTAGACTTGAGATTCAATATTTCGAACAACGATGCTATCGCAGTATTGATAGTGCTTTATTGTAAATACGCTATTTTCTTTTCGTTCAATGAATAACGCATTAAGCCAGATTGTCCCGTACGCTATTTCTTCAACATCCCAACACCAATCCTACTACCCTCATCCTATCCCATCCCTCTTCATCTCCCTCTTCATCCCCATTCTACCCCAACATTCTCCATACCACCACCTTACGCCCAAGCCCCTACCAAACTCATCAAAAACGCCCCCACAAACACCAACAAACAAGCATACACCCTGCGCTTGCCCCTCAGCACCTTCCAACTCTCATCGCTCAGGAAATCCTCCGACATGAGTTCAACCAGCGACGCATAAACCAGAAAACCCGCAGAAATAGCATTCATGATGCCAACCACAAGAAGTCCGATTTCCGAGTCAGGTGAGTAGAGTGTATGTGTGGCGATACCGATGGCCATTCCACCGGGTGTACTGTGATATGTTCAGTATATCGAAGGAGGGAGGAAGGGGAAGGGGACTAGGGGAGAAACGTACGTGCAACCATATGCGAGAGCCATGAGCCAGGGTTGGATGGATTTGGGGTTCCATTTGATATCTGCGATGCGGACGCCTAGGGCGAGGCCTTCAAACGTTTCTGCGGAGGGGGAGGCGCAGTGTTAGCAATGTAACCATGGTTAGACGACGTACAGACTTACGGTGAAAGACAATGGCGATGAGTAGGACGGTAAAATCGTTGCCTACAGAAACAGCGAGGGACATGCCGATGAAGATGCTGTGGAACAGAATACCCATTTCCAGGAGAAAGACTTGCATGACGGCTTTGCGGTGGATCTGCTCGGGTGAGAGAATGTGTTCGTGGGCGCCACTTTCATGGTCAGGTTGAGGAGTATATTCGATACTTTCCACCTTTTTGAGTGCAACTGGGGCTTCGCCAATTTCTGATCCACCGGCGGATTCAATAGCGTCGAGTCTCTGGCCATCTTCGCGGTAGCGGGACAACGTTCTACTGATGCTCCCGACTCTGCCCTTCAACGCACCAAGATCACGGACGCGCATGCTTGATTCCGAGTGGGTTCGCTCCAGCCCCATCTGCGGCGGAGCAGGCTGCTCTTCCGCCTCCGCGTCAGGCATCTCCGCATCAGGCACCTTTTTGGGACGCGAGACGGCTGCTACGCCCTCATTACCACCGCAGACATGGCGAGCAGGGGAAAAAGTCATTTCAATCACAGTGACGAAGAAAACGCTAGCTAGCATAATGGCACCCGGCATGGCCTGGTAGTCTGTAGTCCAGAAACTCGACAGACAAGGATCGCCCAGCGAACCAAAAGCCGTGGGGAGCAAGTGCACAAAGGCGGTTGCGACGAGGACACCGGTACCAAAGTGCTTGGCGCCAAAGAGAAAAGACGGGGGGATGCGCAGACGAGGAAACTTGAGTACGAGCATGGGAAAGGCACAGCCTGTTCCCGACACGAAGAGAATAATGAAGAGACCGCCAACATGAAGCGGGAGATCGTATTCCGGGTGCGCCTTGCCATCTTCACAAGTGCTTCGTCTAGGAAGCCGTTGGAAGGGGGCATCTGGACAAAAAAAAGTTAGCAGACAAATTGTGGCGTGAGAATTTCCAACTTTACTTACCCTGAGACACAACGAACTTGGGCGCACTCAAGTTGCCGCTAGCATAAGAAATAAAGATTGAAGTACAAAGTACGGAGACCAGCCATTTGGCCCAACCGACGACAATGTCGGTGAGGCTAGCTTGGCACTTGGTCAAATGCGTGGTTGTTCGGGTGCAAGGTCCTATAGCCGTGGAAAAAAAAAGTAACTCGTGTTAACGCGGTGTAGCCATTTTCTTGTTTCAAACGTTTGAGAAAAGAAGACGAAGAAGAAGAAAACATACCATTTGAGGACCCTTTGACACCCCCGCCCATGGCGACGGCTTTGTCCTTGTCTATTTCTTGGCCATTGAAATGATCGACTTGGCAGGCTCGCAAGTTGCGTGTCGTGCACAGCTGATCTGCTTCTCCCAGCTCCCGTGCGTTGGCGATGCCGTTGAGATCAGCACAGGTTGTGAGATCAGCAGCAAAGCGTGGTGGGTTCTGGTTCCATCCGGGGTGCCAGAGGATATCGTCGTCTGTTCTGGACGGGCAGTTCATGTCTGCAGCGAATTCGAGAAGGGGTAGTAGCAGCTGCACCTTAATTTCAGGATCGACAAGCAGGAAAGAAGTATTAGGCGTAGTTGACGTGTCGGTTTGGTCTGAGTTGAGGGATCAAAGGCAAGCAAATTTCCAGGATGACGAGGTGTTGTGTGTATAACTACAATACGACGGTGATGGGGAATCGTTCGGACTATATGACATGGGGAGGACCAGTCGATTGACGGCTAGCGGCTCTTCCGCACCGTCATCGTCCAACCACGCGACAGTTGGCCTGGTCGCCAAGGCACCCGACCCCGGAGTTTGACTATCAGCGCCACATGCAGACAGCCACACAGGTGCTCCTCTTTAATATGATGATGACGATGATGATACTGGTCAGGCTCCAGATGTGCCTGGCTGCTTTGATGGAAAACGTTTGTTGCGTCCGGACATGTGACATTTGTTTCGCTGCAACATAGAGCAGCCGCCAGTTTGTTAATCGGCTCAAACGGCTTCTGATGGATACATGACGATGCGCGGCCGGTGGGCCATTGTTCAAAAAAACATCAGGTCCGAGGTTTCCCGACAGCCGTGAGGACATGTACCAAGGCGAGAACGATCAGGCTAGACCAACGTCAGATGCGGTGCTCTCACATGCTGATCCCATCGAATGCCGTTTTAGAAAGGCCAGGCCATCGGCTGAGTCATTGCAGCATCACCAGTATGGCCTGCAACAACGCCAGCTGGCTTCATTTCCATACAGCTGTCAATCCGACACTCGATTAATTTCTCCAAAAAGACCCAACTAATCTCGGCGTTGAAGTTCTCGCATCTCCTGCTCACCGCATGTTGAAGCGCATTTACATAATCTCCCCTTGGCTATGGGCATCCGTACCCAACCACAACTCACTGCGCCCTCTCCGTCTCCAACACTTCAAGCGCACCTCCCACTAAGTGCAAGCTTCCAGTCACCAGAACCATGACTTCAGCATCAGCCCCTGCATGCGCTGCATACTCGCGCGCTACGCTTCTTGCTGTTGCTACGGCCTCTTGGATGGTACGCAGTACATGCACTTTTGCTGTGCTATCAATCTCCGACCATGTCGCTGCGAGCGCCTTCTGCACAGCCAGTGTATCCACGTCTTGCTGGTTAGTGTTGATGGCGACAAGGTCCGGCTTGTAGCCCTCGCTGAATGTCTGGTTGGTGGTGAAAATGACATGAGTAAAGGGCGACGTCGAGCCGGTAGTCATCCCGCTCTGCAGAGTTGCATACAAAGCCTTTGCTAGCGCACTTGCATCTCGAGTTTGTTGGTTGAAGATGAGCACCCGAGGTACCTTTGGGTCGGATGTGGCTGTCCAAGCTGCAGCTCTTATTTGCTCTGCAAACCATTGGCCAGTCACCTCAATGCTCTCCATGGTATGTCCTCCATCGATGTGCCATGCCACATTGGCTTCACGTCGTACCTCGCACCTACCTGCCCAGTGCGCCTGCTCTAGACCGCGAACAAACTCAGCGGGAAGCTCAATGTGAGGAACGGCCGTGGGATCTGGAATGGACGAGTGGCCGAGCGCGCGCAAATGAGCGGCCGCGGCTGCAATGGCTACTGATGCGTTGATCTTTTGAAATGCTGCGCCCAGCCCTAATTTAATTTCGTCCTTTGCCAGCGCCGGGTGCACGTCAACGACATAGAGTTTCTCGCCCTTTTCCGCAGCTCGTTCGTGAAGCACAGTCATGGCCTCGTCCTTTTGGCGCGCCGTAATTGCGACGCTGCCCGGTTTGAAAATACCAGCTTTGTGCCATGCGATTTCTGGCAATGTGGAGCCTAGCATTGCCGTATGGTCGATACCCAGGCTGGTGACGGCTGTCACAGTGGGTTTGGCTAAGATGTTGGTGCTATCAAACTCGCCACCGATGCCGCACTCGATGACGGCTGAATCCACCCCCTCCTTCAGATATGCGTGCAGCGCCATGAGCGTCAGGTAGCGGAAATAGACTGGCTTTGTTGGCACATCGGCGGGCGCACTTTCTGTCTGCGCCGCAGCCTCGAGCTTGTCCCATACCTCAAAAAAGTACTTTGCAAACTTTTCCTCGGATAATGGCTCATTATTGATCTGTATGCGCTCGCGAACGAAGCGTAGGTGCGGGGAGGTGTACAGTCCAATCTTGGAGGGTGGCCGCGCCTGGGCTCCGGTGGGAGTGGCATACTGTGATAGGATTGATGAGATGAAGGCACTCGTCGAGCCTTTACCTTTTGTTCCCGCTATGTGTACAGGCCTCAGGCAGTCAAATTCGGAGGGCTGGAAATCCGGTCAATTGCAATGCTCGCGTGGGCGTCGTGGGAGCCGCACACCTCATATCCAACCTTGCGACACCACTCAATCATCTCAGGGATTGCCTGCTTGTTCATACCCCGGCCAGATTTGCGTATCGCATCGACGATGGAGAAGTTTGACTGCAGCGTGTTCAACGCCGCGACGGCGGCCTATGCCCGTCAGCTCCACTCTGAGTGTGTCTCATGGCGGGCATACCGCATAGTCACGCTTCTCCATGGTGGCGGTGCTGTGGTAGAACAGGCGTCTCGAGGCTCTCAACATGGGGGCATCCTGCTGCTTGCGTAGCGGACATGCGGCTGCACTTTTGTTCGCAGAATGGGTCCGTCAACAGCCGATGTCGCCCTCGATAGTGCCGGGCTTGGCGCATTCCCCCAGCCGTTCTTTGAACCGCCGAGTCCTCCTCTCTGCGCAACGTATACACTGCACATTGCAAACATGACCTTCGCGTGAGCGGAACCTGGCCTCCCCTCGCAGCCGAACCGCAAATCCGTCTGATCGCCAGCCCTGGTTTGATCCAGCCCGTCCCAGTCCGGCCTAGCCAAAACGTGTTGCGTTTTGTCGCTTCGGAGCACGCAACCCAGCGTGGAGCAGCTGTGATAATGCTCTGCACACCACCCGCTCCCAGACAAGAAGGCTGGTTTTGCGCTTGAGGCACATTCCCACTCACTTTGCTCGGCCAAGCAATGCAGCGGCGCCTTGCTAGAGCAGATCGACACCTTTCAGTTCGAGGCTCCGAATACAGCCTCAAAATATGACTTCAATCTGGTCCCCAGCTCTCGACCTCGAACATCACCGTTTTCATGCGTCTTATAAACAGTAACTAAACGTATTGTATCTTGCAACATTGTGTCTCTGCCACGTACATAATGGCATATAATCGACAAGGAAACATGTTCCTGGACCTGATGAGAGCGCTACCAACAAGGCACCTTCTTTTCTCAAACCGATTGTCCAGATCAGCAGAATGACAAATGGCTTTATTCTTACTACCAAGAGATCTTCTAGGACCGAATGGCATTGATTGTCACCAAAGCAATTTCGACAAAAGGCTTGGTTTTTGCCCAGCAAATGATGTTGTATACGCGCACTGTTTACAACTGTCAAACTTGAACAGCATGCAGATAAGAGTGCATTACCTAGACAAGCCACAGAAAATCTAAATAAGGTATACAACATTACTCGTATTAGAGCGTCAACCCGCTCAATTGCGCCGGTGACAGTCCATCACAGCCGCCCGGTAACCTTGTTCCTGACGATCATATTAACGAATCCATGTCATGCCTGTCAAACCAGGTCCCAATTCCCATCCGGCGCGGATAGCCTGCCTGCACATTGACAACGCAAGCTACGTACGTATCCGTCTCTGCGCAGCCGAGACACAATGCGGATGCAACATGAGTTAGGAGCCAAGCTTGCGAGTACTGCGACCTTTTTGGTCGCATCCATCCTTAGCCCCGCCGGATCGACGTTTCACGGATCAATACCTATCCTGGTCGACCCCATCATGGCGGAACGCCGCCCGGGTCACTGCAGCACATATTATCCTCGTCAATCGCCAGTTTCTGGTCGTTTTGCTATTTTGTGCTTTTTTCGCCTCCCACACATTTACGCGATTTTCGAATGGCCTGTTGAGCAACCGTGGCGGATACTTCGCCATGGAGCTATTCACCGCATTCATACATTCCTTTGCCAATGTTGACTGGTGGCGACCAAGGGATCATATTCGGTCTTTGTGCTAGATGCACTAGACCCCTGTTCGCTCAAAGACACGCATACACATCAGCATCAGCAGTTCTTTGTGTGCGGCATTGTGCAAGGACCCTGTCGTGACCAGGTCAGCTTACAAAGGAACAAAACACGGTTTCAACAACTCCAGCCTGGAATTTTAGAAGCGACATTCATTCAAACACGCAAACCTCTGCAGGGAGCACATCTTCCAGAGTAATTCTTAATCGCCACTGCCATTACTATTGTCCGACAAAACCCCGTCATGTATACCATCGCCATCACTCTAACCGCCCTCTTATCGATACTCCACACAACCTCGGCGTCTTCAATATCGCGTTTCACTCGTCGTGGCCTCCCAGGAGCATATTACACATGCACAGATCCCAATTTCTCGGGAGCATGTAGCTGGACTCAACCTAATACCGATTGTCACATCCAGGGAAGTCCTGAAGGCATCGAATCGCTTGGGCCGGACGAAGGGACCCTTTGTACTCTATGGCCAGGCTTTGACTGCAGTGGAAATCCCATCACGTCCTTGCGATTCCCCGGCATCGCAACGGGGCTACCGAAGTTTGGAAGTTTCAACTGTTCGGTGATGGGCAACAATCAACGGAACCAGGCGGAAGCTCTAGCCATGGTTGGGGGAGTCGCTTTGGACAATGGAGAAATTAGGGAATTTGGACTAAAGACTGTAGACGGGAAGGGCAGAGAACAGGGCATGATTGGATTGAAAAAGGGTGTTTATTATTGACGTGGCAGTGATACTGTTGCTATGATTTTTATATGGGATGGCTTTCTGGAGGATGCACGGGCGCATCTTTACGACATTTAACTTTCTTGTGTTTCTTTGTTGAGTGTACAGTAGACATTCGAGTGGTTCTAATGCTACTGGATAGCAGTACTATATGTAGTTTTCTCATGGGCCAAAGACCCACAAAATGATACCCGTAGCAAACATCCAAGATATGGTTGGCACACAAATTCATGGGGTGCATGACCGTGTTGCCGAGGTTGTCAGAGTAAAACATGTGTGTTCCGCAATATGTTTTGACATGCGTAATAGTTCAATCAACATTTGTCGGGCGGTAGAATATATTAAATAGTAATTACAAGTAATTAGATGGAGAAATGGGAGCTAGATCGGCAGGGTCCAACACCTAGCACCCCAGCCAGCTTTGTTAGGGCCAGATGGCTGCTTGGCATGCTTCCCCACATGGGCCACCGCCATCCGTCGCGCCGCCATTGCAACGTCGCCTTTCTCCCTACACTCTTTGCTTGCTCGAAAAGAAGAAACCTACACATCCCTCCAACCCGTCAAAATGAAGGTCACCGTACTTCTTGCATTGGCCACGGCCGCCGTTGCTGACATCATCAACAACGAGGTAAGCAGAGCCGGTTATGACATGCGTATCTCGGGCATAGCATACTGACAATGTCGATAGTACCTTAAGACCGAAGTCCTTACTGAGGCCAAGTGCTCTCGCCCGAGCAAGGCTGGCGACAAGATTCACGTCCATTACCGCGGTACCCTTACAGACGGCACCGAGTTCGATGCTTCATACGGTCGTGGCGCGCCCTTGAGCTTCACCGTCGGCTCAGGTCAGGTCATCAAGGGCTGGGACCAGGGTCTGCTGGACATGTGCCCTGGCGAGAAGAGGAAACTCACCATCCAACCTAAGTGGGCATACGGCGAGCGGGGTGCTGGCCCTATTCCCCCTAACAGCGTTCTGAGTAAGTCGTGTTGAGTCGCCACATTGCAGAGACTCTTTAACTAACTTTTGACAGTCTTTGAATCAGAGCTCGTTTCCATTGACGGCGTCGAAAAGGAGGAGCTCTAAATATTATATATGATCTTTGAATATACACTCCAGTTTCCGGTTGGATAACTGAGTTATGAGCAAACAACAATGAAATACGATATCATGAAATCAATGGTCAAGAGGACCTCAAAATCAAACCCTTCCAAAAACAATCAAAAACAAACGTGGATATCTGCTATACTAAAACCCGACGTCACAGGTCGTTCGCCAACAGGTCTTGTCGTATACACGCCAACATGATGTCTGTATCCAACATGACACTCAACTAGCTCTTTTTGGTCTTTCATTCCACCTTATGATGCCCATTTCTCATTCCTTGGTTTTATTCGTTATAATCATAGACTATGCACAATGCGTGCCTACACGTCAAGTGTTATTGGTTTTGTCTTAGGCTCCAATTCGCTTGTTTGCTTTCACCACCACAAGCCCACTGTACACTAACACTATAGCTTTCGCCAAAGGAAATTGCTTTACACTATATCGCTCACAATGTCTTGGTCGTCTCTACGCAACGAAATTCACAATCCGAGTGCAAACTTTACTCAACTGACAAGCACTATACGTCCACATCACAAACCTATCTCGTTCACCCTTTCCAAACAATCATCTTTTTTCTCCTATCTCAAAAACTATGTCACCAACCAAGAAGCCCGACGCCTCTGTTCCAAAGCCGAAGCCTGTCATCAAGAAGGTCAAGGTTGTCAACAAAGGTTCAGAGATTAAGCAGATGGCAGCCACCGTCGAAGCAGCTAGGAAATCTGCAGCATCCTCCTCCAAGCAGTCTTCCATTCCTAATCCGGTCCCGCAAAACCTTTCAGGGTCAACTCAGTATGCACCCACTTCTGGTCGGATACTCATCGGAAAGAATGCAGCCTCGAGAATAAGAAACCCCAATGGTAGGGTTGCAAAGACCACAGCTCCAATCTCGCAGCCTAAAATCTGGAAGATCGCAACCGGGAAGAAGGATGAAGGGTGCAATGCTTCTTCAAAACCCAAGGATGCGGTTGGCAAGACTGCAGCTCCAGTATCGCAGTCCAAGGTCAAGAAGATTGCAGTTGAGAAGAAGGGTGGAGTAAACGATGCTTCTTCACTGCGCAAGTCTACATTGTCTGACCTAACTACAGTTACTACAAAAAATGCTCCAATCTCACAGCCCAAGACCAAGAAGCTCACAAACAATAAAAAAGATGGAGTAGACAATGCTTCTTCAAAGCCCAAGTCTGTGTTGCCTGGACCCGCTACGGAAGCTGCGATAACAAAGCGATCGATCCCTCTGCCAAACCTTACGCTCCGGCGTATGACCAACAAGGCACTCGAATCCCTTAAGGAGCGTCGATGGATAGCGCAAACGGCGCTGGATGGTCTCTTCCCACTGATGAAGACCAAAGATGCGATTGAGATCGCTGTTGCTGCGTTGGAACAGCAAATCGACGATTGCAACTCGGATATCCAGCAGCTGAAGAGACTTCCTCACAGCTCGCATGCAGGTGATATCAAGCCCACGGACTTCAAGGTAATAATATCTCTCCTTATTTAGAGCTAAATGTTCTAATCTGTACAGGATATTCTCGCCTTGGCTTCACTGGTGTCATGTAACAGGACTACAGATGAGAATAACAAACTTGACGACATCACTACGAAGGCCCCTAAACCAGATATAAAGCGGAAACAAGTCGCGGAAGAAGTCGACCAAACTCGACCGAGGGACGAGGCTTTGAATGTCGTCGAAGGTAATCACAAACCAAGGATTAAACCCCCAACAACTACCAAAGATGCCAGAAGGAACAGGTTGAGTCCAACCCTAGACGAGAAGGTAATGTTCTCTATTCATATCTACGTATGCACTGTTGCTGACTGACCAACGTAAGCTATTCGGTCCTGATCTAGACCTATCGGCACCGACAAGCTGTTGCACGAGCCCATCCCATATTACCGACGCACGCCCTACACAGCCCAATTCCAAAGCAGTATCCGTGCCGAGGACCCACAAGCCCTCTAACGCACCCACCGCCTGCTCAACAGAAAACGTCAAGGCTACAGAGCCAACCAAGAACGACAAATTACACACAGTTGACACGGACAACCATGCACAAACACAGACAGAGATTTCAGAGAGTACCTCATCCTCTCCGAAAAACGATGTTGGTGGTGGTATTAAGCCCGGGTCACGTGCTAGCAGTGAAGGCAAATCCCTGAGCAAGGAAAAGGGGGTCGAGGACAAGCGAAGCGAGAAGCGCAAGCACGAATACATTGAGGCTGAGGATGCGCCAAACAAGAAGGTCCATCTTTCAGGGCAGTGATTCTGCCTTGCTCAAGGCTTGGGGTGTAGTCGTCATGGAAGAATGCTGCGCCCAAGGGGACACACAAGGACTACTTAGGTTTGCCACTCGGACCGGGATATTCCGTATATGGAGGCTGTGCGATGTGCTCAGTCGGCGAATGTAGAAGCATTACGGACGTGTATCTGACCAGCGAATGGAAGAGAAACTGTTGGTGTGACTGGCTAAGGCTAGGTGGAGCTAACAATGTATTGAAGATTCTGTAGTGCATACGTAAATAGCTTGAACAGACACAATAACGTCAGCCATTCTTATTCAAACCCGCTTTCATTGTGTCATGACATTATCTTTTAGTCAACAATTCAACTCGACCATATGCGGCTCCGTAATGTTGGATTAGGTGGAATTAAGGAAGTGCACAGAGGCGCTGAGAATTACGTGACTGGCTACTACCTCGAGACCTAACTAGAAGGTAGATCTATTGTTATTGTAGAATCTGGCACGGGACTACACCTCTCTATATCTTCAAATGCCCAGTATATGCATCGTTGGCACACCACAACTTCCGCAGACCCAATCACCGCAGAGCTTGAAGAATCGTGAAGATGCAATATGGACTGTGCGTTTGAAAACTACACGTAGATTAGTTCTCTAGTTTGAGGAACTAAGCGTATTGATTGGTCTGGACTTTTCAAGGCTGCTAAAGAGAAGTATAGTAAAATCGACTTTTGTTTTTGCCACTGTCGGAACTGGCCCGCGCGCAAACTACGTAGCTACTACGCAGCTCTTAAGGTTAACGCAAATAACGATGTAATGTAGCTAAAGTAAGACATGATATATGTTAACTTAGATAGTATCATCCAGACTATTACAATTGCTCCGTAGTGCTCACAACCTTGGGCGCCTCCTTGTTAGCGCGGTCAGACGCCTGCCTAGCAATGCCCGCATGCGGGAATCATGGCGATGGCTGACGCTCGCCATTTCCGGTGACTATTACCAGCCCGATTGCGACGTCAAGTTGGAGAGTCTTGGTAGTCGTCCATGTGAGGAGATCGGCCTCGATGAGCTGAACTATGACATCACACGGCATATAGTCACTGCCGGGACGTGCATCGGGTTTCAGAATTGGTTAGCCAAGATGGCCATGCAGTTGACCCCAACATGTTCGAGTATTGTTGACGGGCCTCTTTCCTCATTGCGCTCAACGACCGTTAAGAAATGACTTGGGAATTTCTGCAGAGCGGCGAATTGCCGGTATGGACCTGTCGGAAAGGCTGGGCCTCGGTAGAAGCCTCTCAGCCGCCCTGGGCGTACTAGAGAATATGCTGCGGCACAATGTAGTACCTCATTGTCATTCGTGTCGCCGGGCTGTGAAAGGGGCTCCGGTCATGCGGTGGCCAGAGTCAAGAGCCATTCATCGCCACGAGGTTGCCTGGCGTATACACATGTTGTAGTGACTTTCATGGTCAGCAACTCTGTCTGAAGCGGAACGCGAGACATGGAGTGCTCGGAATAAGGCCGATCAATTGAGTCTGCCAAGGCAAGGCAGACTGGTGACCACAACCAAGTTCTATCCGAGTAGTTTCAAGAAGAAAAAACGAGCCGTCTTGGACAGTGGAAAGCCTGCAAACAGAAGTGTTGCTCGAACTGTTCCAGATTGCAAACGTTATAGGGCTACTACAGCATGCATACATCCAATCACACATGGCTGAAATTAACCGAGCAAAAGCATGCAGAAAGAGAGAGATTACAGTATTCCAGGGCCAGCAGCCTGGTAATCTCCCAGGTGGCAAGACTCTGGGTAGCAGTAGCATTTCAGTATACGCCGCAGCAAGAGGCGAATGATACATGGTACGCATACACTACTCTCAGCTTTACCAGCCCTGCACTCAGCTGGCCTGTCTCGTGGCGTAGAGCATGCAGCCAATCGCGGATAATGTAGATCTGAGGCTAAGCACATGCGCCACGCAGCGCCACGCAGCTAAGCCTCAGGCCCCGACCAATCAATACGCTCAGTTCCTGAAACTAGGGAATCGATCTACATGTAGTCTGCAAACGCATGGTCCCTATTGCATCTTCACGATTCTCTCAGTTTCAACCCTCTCAAATGTCCCTACAATGTCTTCTGACATTCTACAAGCCATAGACGTATGCCGGAGTGGAAGCCGGGGCGTCCGTGCTTCAAGGTGCGGAGAGCTTTTGCACTGCCCCCTTACCAAGAACGCCGGGCAGCTTGTCTTTGCTCATCTCGCCTTCAACGGTTCTAGTCGCCAAAGCAATCATTCTAGCCATCTTGGCGAATGCTCGCCAGCTCAGTGTCCACCACGACGATAGGACATGGCCAGGATTTCGCAACTGGTGCCACTGCCGTAGCATTGCTGGCCTCCACCCATAGTCATGGCGAAGATTACCCGAACCCTCATAGAGGCGGCACCACGCCAAGCTGGCCTCGTGCAGAGCTTGTATCATCAGGCAGGTCCATTACCGGACCAAGCGCCCAGCGGGCTTGGTTCTTGGGCAAACAACTACACAGCCCACTTCTTGGAAGCCAGTACTATATGGCGGCTCGAGACGCGCCCCTCGACGTGTCAGACCTGGTCATCATTTCACTCTCACGTGCACTCACCGCTATCTCCTACTACTACTATTACTATCTAGTATATACCCCTACTTCTAATCTTTGAGATCTAGCGGCAGCACTGTTACCTGACTTGTACCTCCCTTTTCGTCTTTCGCCATGGAGACGGGCAAGTTGGCCCCGCCAACACTCCACATCAACACACGGCAACGCGCGTTAAGCCAGGCCGACACAATCACCTCACAAACATCAGATCCCTTCCGAACACCCATATCACCAAGTAATGCGTCCACCAGTGGAGTATCCACCGTCGTGAGCGAGTATGATGCAGCAGTGCAGCAAGAGCTGCGGGCAGAAGCCGCGTCTGATACAGACAACCCCTTCGCCTTTCGACCGTCACAGCTGAGCAAGCTTCTCAACCCCAAGTCGCTTGCTGTATATCATGCTCTCGGCGGTCTGCAAGGAATCGCAGTCGGCTTGCAATCAGATATTCACACTGGACTCAGTGCCGACGAATCCACAGTGCCACGGCAGATTTCCTTTGATGAAGCAACGAATCCACAGGCAACCCACAAAGAGAAGACATCGGACCGATTACCGAGAGACGGACAGCCATTTGAGGATCGAATTCGTATCCACGGACGAAATGCCCTTCCACCAAAGAAAGCCACTCCGCTGTGGAAGTTGGTATGGAACGCATACAACGACACTGTCCTCATAGTCCTTACCATCGCAGCTGCAATTTCACTGGCGCTCGGTCTCTATGAAACATTTGGAGCAGAGCATCCCCCGGGCTCCCCGGCATCCGTCGACTGGGTAGAGGGCACTGCTGTTGTGGTAGCCATCGTCATCGTGGTTCTTGTTACGGCAGTAAATGACTGGCAAAAAGAACAAGCCTTTGCAAAGCTCAATGCAAAGAAGGAACAGCGCGATGTCAAGGTTACACGGTCGGGTAAAATCGTCATGATTAGCATTTATGATATCCTAGCGGGAGATATCATCCACTTGGAGCCGGGTGACATCATCCCTGTAGATGGTATCTTTGTCGATGGCTCAGACGTCAAGTGCGATGAATCCTCCGCTACAGGAGAGTCGGATGCTATGCGCAAAATACCTGGCGCGGTTGTCACCAAAGCCATGGAATCTGGCCAGTCAGTTAGGGATCTCGACCCATTCATCATCTCTGGCGCCAAGGTGCTCGAAGGCGTAGGTACCTTTATGGCTACTTCCGTCGGAGAGCACAGCAGCTTTGGCAGAATCATGATGTCGGTCCGTGTCGAGATTGAGACGACTCCTCTCCAGGAAAAGCTGGGCGGCCTCGCTATGGCCATTGCCAAACTCGGAACTACTGCTGCTGGTATTCTCTTCTTCGTTCTACTGTTCCGCTTCGTAGGTGGATTGGACGGCGATACCCGCACTGCTTCGGAGAAAGGCTCTGCTTTCATGGATATTCTTATTGTTGCGGTAACAATCATTGTTGTAGCCGTCCCCGAAGGACTTCCTCTTGCTGTCACCTTGGCCCTGGCGTTTGCCACGACCAAGATGTTGAAGGAGAACAACCTTGTAAGAATTCTACGAGCCTGTGAGACCATGGGTAATGCTACTGCTATCTGCTCGGACAAGACTGGTACCTTGGTAAGTATTTTGTATCCATGGACACCGAGTAAAATTCTAACATTTCAGGTAGACAACAAACAGGATGACTGTCGTCGCTGGTACCTTTGGCAACACTAGATTCGTGCATGCAGACACTGTCTCAGAGAAGGATGAACCCATTTCGGCGTGGGCATCAAAGGTTACGCCGGTTGCAAAGGACCTTATCACACAGTCTGTCGCTATCAACTCAACGGCCTTTGAAGGACAAGAGGATGGAAAGCCGTGCTTCGTTGGATCCAAGACAGAGACTGCCTTGCTTCAGTTCGCCAAGGACCACTTCGGTCTCGTTTCCCTGGCAGAGACTCGCGACAACCAACAAGTCATGCACATGTTCCCCTTCGATTCAGCAAAGAAGTGCATGGGTGCTGTCCTCAAGCTCCAAAATGGAACTTACCGCCTTGTTGTCAAGGGAGCATCTGAGATTCTTCTCGACTTCTCTTCTTCCTCCGCCGACTTTGCTACCCTCGAGACTCAACCCCTGACAGACGGCGAACGCCAGAACCTCACTGATACCATCAATGAGTATGCTAGCAGATCCCTCAGGACTATTGGTCTTGTGTACCGCGACTTCGAACAATGGCCCCCAGCCAGCGCCGAGATGACCGAAGGTGGCAGTGTTTCTTTCGCTTCCCTGCTGCGCGATCTCATCGTCTTTGGTGTTGTCGGTATTCAGGATCCCATTCGCCCTGGTGTCCCTGATGCTGTCCGCAAGGCACAAAAGGCAGGCGTTTCTGTTCGCATGGTTACCGGTGACAATATGCAGACGGCTAAAGCTATCGCAACGGAATGTCTCATCTATACTGAGGGCGGTTTGGTCATGGAAGGTCCCGACTTCCGTCGTCTTACCGAAGATCAACTGGATGAAATCTTGCCCCGACTCCAAGTGCTGGCTCGTTCTTCGCCCGAAGACAAGCGCATCCTAGTTCAACGTCTCAAGACCCTTGGTGAAATCGTCGCTGTTACTGGAGATGGTACAAATGACGCTCCTGCGCTCAAGGCTGCCAACATTGGTTTCTCGATGAACTCTGGTACAGAGGTTGCTAAGGAGGCATCCTCTATCATCCTTATGGATGACAACTTCACCTCTATCATCACAGCTCTTATGTGGGGTCGTGCTGTCAATGATGCGGTGCAGAAGTTCCTTCAGGTAAGGCATACTACACTCAATCCCCTCTAGCTCACAACACTAACGAAAACAGTTCCAAATCACTGTCAACATCACCGCTGTTGTACTTGCATTTGTCACAGCCATATACGATGACGAAATGAAGCCTGTGCTCAGGGCCGTCCAGCTCCTCTGGGTCAACCTGATCATGGATACCTTTGCAGCCCTTGCCCTCGCCACCGACCCCCCGACCGAAAAGATTCTCGACCGCCCACCCCAAGGCAGAGGTCCTCTCATCACAACCACCATGTGGAAGCAAATCATGGGTCAAAACATCTACAAGATCACTGTCATCTTCGTTCTCTACTTTGCCGGCGGTGACATCCTCGGCTACGACCTTTCCGACCCCAATAAGCAGCTCGAACTCGACACCGTCATCTTCAACTGCTTCGTCTGGATGCAAATCTTCAACATCTTCAACAACCGCCGTCTCGATAACAAGCTCAACGTCCTCGAGGGTATTCTCCGTAACTGGTTCTTCATCGGCATCGTCGTCATGATCATCGGCCTCCAAATCCTCATCATCTTCGTCGGTGGCCGCGCCTTCCAGATCAAGCCCGGTGGCATCGACGGAACGCAGTGGGCTATCAGCATTGTTGTCGGCTTCGTATGTATCCCCTGGGCCGTCCTCATCCGCTACTTCCCCGATGAGTGGTTCGCCGTCATTGCGCGGATCGTTGGTAGGCCTGTTGTCATTGTGTACCGCTGGTGCTGTACTGCCGCTAGCAAGGTTAAGAGCGTGTTCACTTTCCGTCGCAAGAAGGAGGTTAAGGAGGAGAGAGATGTCGAGGAGGCGGCTGCACCGGCTATTGTTGTAGTCGGTGATGATGCTAGTACTGCTGCTGCTGCTGAGGCGAAGAAGTACTAGAGCAATACTTCTACCCTCTCATGTCTTTCTGTTTATTTTTTTTAGTTTACAGTTTTTCTTTTCGGCTCAGATATCATGGACTCAGGTGACGATGTTAAGATTTTCCTATAGTGTAATAGAGGGGGACATTTGATCAAGCGTGGTAGTTCGGCGGTATAGATAATTGGAATGTGTGTGTGTGTATCTGGCATTTCACTGTACCTGGTGGGGGGCGTTTTTTTTCGTGTGATGGCCCTGAGCCGTGAACTAGCCGTGAACTTACTCGTATGGACTTGATGGGAGCGCTTATTTACTGTGAAGCTGTAAGTTGCTCTAGGACTTGGTATACATTATTGCGATTTTAGTCTACGCTCTCCTTTCTGCGCTACTGACGTAAAAAAAGGGGGTGGGGGATGCATAATGTTCCTTCCTACTACTACTACTACTACTACTACTACTACTACTACAAATTCAATCTAGTCACGGTTTATCCTCGAGCAGGAAGCATGCCCTTGCTCAAGTCATACACTCTGTAGCTCCAGCACACTGATGACGAATTTGAAATTCAATGATAGATAGAACGTTGTGATGATGCTTGGCATAGATTTCTGTCCTTGATCCCCCCCCTCTCCGTACACAGCGTAGTCTATACACCTTCATCAGTTTTTCTCCTACCTTTTCTTTTCCACAACGAAACTTGGGGGGGGGGGGAGAGACTTGGTTTCGTGCAGAGCAGTGGGGGTTCGATCTAGCCAG